ACTTCGAGGTTTACTGGAAAATCAGGATCGAGGATCGAGGATCGGAGATGGAGAATCGGGGATCGAGGATTGGTTAAAGAAAACTTGAAAATAAAATAAATAAATCAATAAATCGTGGATCGTGGTGATGTGTGCCACAGAGTGTAGATAAATTTCACAGAACATAACCCCATTCGGTGTACTGAACACTAAATTTAAGTAAATTACTCTGAGTCTGACTGAGTCAGTGATTGTTTTGACGAGAAAGTGAAATTTTCCTGGAAAATGAAACGCTTTATCCCAGTGATACTGTGATAAGATGCATGCTGTGTACATCTCTAAACATTGTACTCTGAGAAAAACTTAAAGCAAGAGGCACACATACACCAACCCACGGCCTGGCCAGTACCTCACGCATGCGCACAGCCATATTACCCGGTCTTTGATACACGGGGATTTTCCCCGTTCATTGACCCGACGGATATGCCATGCTGATGAGCCCCAATAAGGGCGAAACAGCTGTCCATGGTTTTTAGTGTAAAATCCCTGAAAGAGTTCTCCTCACTGGAGCAATATCAACATGTAGAAGGTTTTCCAAGGTTTCACACCGGTGTGAAGCTAAGATGTGCGGCCTGTCTCTCCTTGCAATTTTTACGATTTTAGTATTTACATTATGACATATAACACTCGTTTTGTATTCCAAACGATAAAGTGGTATAACAGCACCGGCGCCTTTGACAACAAAACTTATCTCCAAGCAAGCGAGGCTCAGCGCTACTAAGAGCGTTCTTGTTCAGAGGTAACAAACGGGCATTGTTCCTTCTGATCTCATAACTAAAGCGTGGAATGTAACATATCTTGTTTGGCACTCGTGTTTTAGTCGGGACACCTTCGAAAGCGAAAGGACTTTTAATATATTCCAGCCACAGAATTCTATTCCAACCATTTCTCTGAAATTTATATGGCAAATTGATTATCAATAAAGGTTAAAGGTTAAGGTTAAAGGCATGTTTATAGTGGAAGGTGCACTTAGCTAGTCAGCTAATTTACAGGCGCTCCACTCAAATATTTAGAAACAAATAATTCAAATACAACATAACAGGATTAAAAACCCCAACTGGCAGAAGGCAACCAGTTGGCTATTTACAAGCATGGCCGAGAATTTGAACTCGGGACGACCGAGCACAAATCCAGCAAGTGGCCAGAGTGGGACTCGAACCCGGGACCGCCGGATTGCGAGTCCGACGCGCTGACCACTCGGCCACGCTGCCTCCCTTAAAGCCGATCTTTGAACAATAAGATATCCACTTAAGCTCTAATTTCGTAAAATATTTATACTGTATTTACCGCCAGTAAAATCAGATTATTTCTTATTTTGCTGAATTATATTTGTAGTTCTTTCCAGAGCCACCTTAAACGATTATATCCTGCTGCTACTTACCGGTACTTACCATCAAAAGTCATAGTCCTGACAAAACCTTTCCACGACCTGATCGAGCAGTCAGCATCTCTCATGACTTTCATCTAGTCCAGTGTCAGCCTTGATGGTGTCGATGTATGTAGTTCTTGGTCTACTACCTCAATATGAGTGACCATGTTGGGGTTTTTTAATAGCGTTTTAAACAGGTTAATACACCTTTAAAAGCAGTCGAAAAATACATTAAAAATACACACTTTTACACACTTTTGGACACAAAATCACGTTTTCCCAATTTGGCAGTACTGTGGCTTAAAGCATTGCCGTAAAGCGCGATCTACCAATTAAAAGCAACCCTCTAAAACTTCCATCACTCCATAATGCCTCGAGATAGAGGCGTTTTAAAAATGTAGCAGAGGCAAAATTTTGCCTTATGAAGCGTTGGCCATTTGAAGACCATAAGGCGTTCTTCGTATACGTAGGACATGGCACGCCCAAAGTTTCCAGTGGCACATTTGGATGCTCTACTTTGCACTTTCTCCAAAATGTTTAAGTCCTTTAGTCCTTTTCAAGCTGTAGCTGGCTGGTTGTGGTCACTCTTGACGGCGTCCTGATAAGATTTCCTAAGTTGTGTATCTGCTCAAGATCACATAGGACCTTGCCTTCTTTTCCCTATTTATTAAACCTGTCCCTGTTTAAGTCGCCAGTGATCACGACAAATTTTCCCTTTAAGGATGCTCAAAAAGTAATTCTCCAGTACCGTTATTTTTACGGAGGTCGATATAGCCCCAAAACGACTTTATCTTTCGAACTTTGATTCCAAACATAATGCCTTAAAGATGGTAGATTTTCGGGGCCTATAGCCACTGAACTTAAACTGTTCGCTTGGTTAAAAAGAATCACTTGTATGCGACATTAAAACCAAGACGGATAGTTCTTTGGCCCGAGAAAACAGCCAACATTGCGACGCTTCCACTGGTTTCCTTGCGAAATGGTGTCTGAGGAAAGAGTGCAGAAATTCCATTGCATACTGGTGACACGTCACTAACCAGATCTGGGTAAAGCTTCTGATTGGTCGTTCCGCGTGGGAAATTTGCTTTAACCAATCAGCGGCACTACACAGATTAGGGTAGTGGACGCGTCATCAGTATGGATTTTCCGCGCCCGTTTGTCAGAAGGATTTTGGGAGCAAACCATGAGGTGGCGTCCCCAAAAGTCGCGGGCTGTTTTCTCAGGCTAATAAACTTTTAAATTTTTTGTAGGTACATAATGGTGAAGATTCACAATTGCCTGGTGGAAATCACCAACAAGACAAATTTTCCTATGTTGTATGTGTCAGACTGGTACGATAGCGGACGAGTCGCTGATGGTTACAGCTGGCCGAAAACAATTAACGCAGGCGACCATCAAAAGGTCCTCAACTATGAAAGAGACTGGGCATGGGCAGGATGTTCAGGGTACGTTACCTATAGGATGAATGACACCGACGTCACCATTGCTTTCTCCAATCCAGATATAGGAAGAAACAAGCTTGGAGTGGGCACCGATGGAAAGAAGGTGTGGGATGATATGGGCAACCATGATTACAACGAGTTTTCCGAAGAAATAACTTGCCCTGACAAGGTGATTATATCATGCAGCTGCAAGTGCACCGGCGGAGACACTAACAGTTGTAGTGTCTACCTGGTACAAAAATGAATTAAGAAGATACAACAGAATGCGAGCGGTCTATTGAAGAATGCGAGAGTGGAACCCCTCAACAAAGAATTTGCAATCATTTTAAACTTGCTGTTATATGATTTTATAGATAGATTTTATAAGGTACAATCTTTTCACTAAATATAGTTTCGATGCTTTTTCATCATTTTTATCAACTTAATGAAGATTAGCTGTAGATGTGGATCCCATAATAGACCTTGTCACGGTTTTCGACGCCATCTTGACGAGTAGGCAAACGCGTGAAAAATTACAGTGTTTGTATGAGAATCTAGTGTCGAATAATTTCCGTAGAACGGCTGTTCTGACAAAAATATGATTTGTAAACTAGAGCTTCTCTCCTAAGAATTCTTCTGAAAAAAATTGAGTCCGTTACATGCTCTAGAAGACCTAGAACCACTTCTTTAAATTTTCTATACATTTGTCTGTAAGAAAGTCCCGGGAAAATTACAGACAAATATATGGAAAATCTAAAGCAAGCTTCTGGAGACATCTAGGAACAGGTACGCCCCATCAATTTTTTTTAGGACAATCCTTTGCTTTGTAGCTTTAGTTTACAATTGATATTTTTTTCAGAACAGCCGTTTTACGGAAATTATTCCACATTAGATTCTCATACAAACACTGCAATTTCTCACACGTTTGCCTACTCGTCAAGATGGTGTCGAAAACCGTGACAAGGTCTATTAATTTTTTCACTATTTTTTTTCCATTGCTCATTAGTTTTCAGTTTTATTCTCTTTGATCAGTTTGCAGTACTGTAATTTGTTAAAGTGATGCTGTTGTGGTACGTGCGCAAACTTTTAAGCAATAAAAATTAAACTGTGCATTCAGCTACCTTGAAATTTCATGATAATGCCTCACATTTTCCGAAGAACTAAAAATACTGAGAAAGCCTGAGGGTTGTTCAATACACACAAATAGACTCCATTGGTGTGAGTGGAGTAATTTGCTTTGGCAGGAAAGAGATATTAGAGAGCTTTTATAGATTCGAGGACGAGGGGTACTACACGGAGGACATTTAATTTTACGTTTTCTCGCATGTTCTCTAAAAATAGACATCCCCGAAAGCATTGTACTCAGTTTTTTTTTTTCACCACAAAAGTTAGCACGCTTATTTCCGTTGAAGCGTTAAAGCCCTCTCATCGGTCACTAAATGATAACATTCTAACGTTTCATAACTTGTTTTCACCTCTACGACATTCTCGCTAAAACTCGTAGTAAAATGACGATGGCTAAATTGGCTATCACATTTTCCCACCAAAGTGACGTTAGTTCACGTGCGCACTCTACTAAGAAAGAAAAATATCGTTCTCGTAGTCGTTCTGTCTTAGAGTCTAAAGCTCTCTACTAACTGCCTGTAATCGTATGACTATGTTATCTTGTTTTGAAATACGGTTACCGTAATAGCGACATGTCGTCGCCTAAATGTTTTGATCGTGTTACTTTTTGTGCTTGAGGTACGATTGCCAAAAGATCATCTTGTGATAACTGAACATTGGAGCCCCTATAAACAACAGTTTTTCAACTGCGACGATCGTTGGTTTCAATTACGTACAGTGTGGGGGAGGGGTGGGAGGAGGGGAAGGGGGAAGGGGGAAGGTTGGAAGGTTCGGGTATCTCTGAACCGGTCCGTTTAAATGGATCGAACGTTTATGAGAATGCTGCAGATGAGAGATTTCGTTTAGCAAATAGTTTATAAAATAATGAAACGATATTTTCGAATACTTAAGAATGCAGTGTGTTTTCGAGAAAAGTTCTGCACTTAGCAAGTTGGGAATAGCCCGATTTCCTATTCATCACTTAAGATCAGTTCAAGCGACTGTATGTCGTTATGGGATCGTAGGTTGCATTGTTTTATCTAGGATGTACAAGGCTGAAGCCGATTTTACGTCTAGAAAATCTACATTTATTTGTTTGGATAAAGCGCTTTAGTATATACTAAAACAGTGGATAGTGTTTTTCGCGCGCTGTGATTGGCTACTCAATCAGTGAATATCCTGCACTATTCACTGATTCACCTCCAGTTCCTCCGAGCGAGCGACGCCGAACTCACGTAGGTTGCGAGCAAAATGCCTTCCCGGCTTGCTGCCGTTATAAACTAAGAAATTTCACAACCAATCAAGCAAGCTATTTCCGAAATACATGAAGAAGGTGACGAAGTTCGGTTTGGAAGTTTTAACAGGTAAAGCTTTGTCTTTTTGACTTGAATTTATCGATGAAACCGGTGAAAAAGTTTTTTGTTCACAAATGCAAATTAATTAAGTCTTGCGTTACTTTATTTAGTTGACTTGTTCATAAATAAGCTTAAAACCAAATTCAATAATCTTTTTTACAGAATTATTTTAAATACAAAAAGAATTCACAACTCCTTTTGAAGAAACTACCCCGCAAGAGCTAAACAAACGCCTTCAAAAGTCTTATTTGTCGCTAAGAAAAAGCGACGACCGCGGCCGTTCGGTAATAGGGAGCTTAAGAGCGACTCCGCGTAAATATCAACTAGACGTGGAAATAGTCAAAAAATGACCCGGCCTCAAACTCAGCCAGAATAAAGCCCTATGGGCCCTAGTTACAAAATCATTGGTTTAAGTACGATCGAGTGAATAATATTTTTTTAACGAATTTTTTCCTCCCTCAGGCCTAAAATGAGCAAAAATCATGCAAAATTAGAGTCATATTCAGTAACTCGTACATTTTAAAATAAAGTTGGCTACTAAAATCTAATGACACTTCATATTTTTACTATCTTTCCTCTATAATTTTAACTGATTAGTTCGCGAATTAGTCAAGAAGAGATTTTTTAAGAAATTTTTAAAGTTGTTGACTCCAAATCGCTTAATCAACCGTCAAAATTTAGCACTTTTTCACGAACTAAAAAAGCGGATTGGTACATGGCTTTGAACACCAAGGCTTGTTTAGTCTGAAAGAGCATTCTTTTTTCTTCAAATTTGCGAAATAAAATTTTTGGGTAAATGAAATCACGAGCGCTGACAAAGCGAAGCAAATGTAAATGTTACACTAAAAACAGGCGAAAAATGTGACCTCTGACCGAAGCACAACCAAATGCGAATTACGGTAGGCGCCAAACCTTGAATTATTCGGTAACTTCTCGAAACAATATTGGTCCGAAATGTGTATAGATTTTATAAAATAAAGCTGAGCTAAAGTATTAAGTGTCAAAAAGTCCACAAAGCGGTAAAAAATACAACAAAAGTCACGAGTATTAGATCTGTTCCGTTTTCTGAATTTTATGCAGCGATTTATGCGATTTAACGAATTTACAATTTTTAATCCAACGATACCCACCTGAGACTGTGTTAGTTTAAGAGTCCATACAACTTCTCAGAAGATTTCTGAGAAAGACCTCCAGAAGGAAATGAATGAAGAATTGGAACTTATAACTGTAACAATTTCACTTGACGCGATTGCAAAACTGTCGAACTGCCACAGGCAAACCAGCTTTCAGTGCAGTCATGCAAAGCATGTCACGTCACGTAATTCTGCCCCGCGCATTTGGGAAGGAGGGAAGAAATTCTTCCATGCTGTGCGCTAAAACATTTATGAAATAAAACTAGCTTTGGACTGTATCTTTTGTAACTAGTTAAAGAAAAGAATAACTTTTTCCCCTGTTTTTGCTCAAGGGGCGCTGTGCACTTCTTCTACTTTATCTGCTGTTTACAATTATTGTGTTTCAAGTTCAGAACGTGCATCTATCGTTAGCAGTTGGTGTGTTCGAATAACCGAATGCTGTAGAAAGGATATCAAAGGGCACCAAAGCAGTGGCGGATCCAGGGGGATGGTACGGGGGTCCGGACCCCCCCCATCAGACCTGATACGATAGGATTGTATATCACTGTTTAACTGGCTGGATTTTTTGATGAAACGCGTGTTGCATTTTGCCACCAAACTAAATTCTAGGGATATTCAGAAATGTGATTGTCTTTGGGTACCCTCAGTAATCTGTGTATTTCCCGCGCCAACGGCAACTGGCTTTCACAGATTGAGAAACACGTAGTCGTCTCTGCCTTCTCAGTGACTAGTGGGAGGGGGTGTGGGGAAAGGTAATTTGCCCCCAAAAAGTTCAACAGTCCTTTCTGAACCAAAATTTGGACCTCCCTCCACCCCAATGAAAAATTCCTGGATTTCCTCCTGCAAAGATGTTGCTGAGTTCGGAGCCACCCAAGGCCCATGCTGGCGCGTGCAAGTAAATAAAAAAAAGACATATATGAAACATCCCGACTAAAAGCCAACAACAGGGAATGACCTCTTCGCAAGCCAATGAACTAGTGGCCACATCCGGTTCTCAAAAGAAGATTTGGATAAGTTGAAAGGACAAAATCGAAGGAACTCATCGGCGAAAAGAGAAAGAAGGCCAGTACAAACAAAATTAAGAATATACATGATATCATTTTTTCCAATATTAGTCGGTTTGCAACACAAACCTTTGTCGGGGGCTGATATTGTGGAGTCGTTACCAAAATTGAATTTAAAACCAAAGTACATAATTATAAACATAATTGGTGATTACAAAGGTAGTCGTATGAACTGATGCAAGTAAGGAACCAAAAATAACGACCTGGCCCTGGTTGATCAAACGACCGATCATTTTTCCAAGTACCGTGTGGAACGACATTTTTGCAGGAGTTTATTTTTGCGGATTGGCGATTTTTTGTGTTTTGCGGGAACTAATTTTTGCGATTAGGACAGACTGGTTTTTCTTGCTGGGAATTAATTTTTGCGATTTTGAAAGTACCCAGTACCCAGCATTGATAATATTTTCGTTTTTATTGAGTACGTGCAATAGAAATACATATTTTCAAACAATGCTAAGTGTGCGTCAGTATTTGTTTCTCAACTGAAAAGTGACCAGTTGTAATTGAACAGACACGAATTCTTGGTACTGTATTCTTGTTTAGTGAATTTAAGTTAGAGAATACAGTATTTCCTCTGTAGTAAATTTTTGCGGGAAATATTGTTGCGGTAATTTTTATTTGAGCGAACTTATTTTTGCAAAGTATATACTGACAGTCATGAAATCCTATCAATAAAATTCAGCCGTGAGTGAAATAGTGAAAATGACAAGAGGACAAAGGTGAAAAGGTAATAACAGATCAGTCCACGGGGTTTAAAATTGTCTAGCCTGACATTTTATGAAAGCGAACGGGAATGACATATTTATTTGTTCTGGAGCGATGAATTTTTTTTGAAAGCACGTTTCATTATAGCAAAAATTTGCCAAACTTTAACTGAGAGCCATTGGTAATTTCTATGGTATTTTTCTCGTTCCCTTTTTTTCTAGTTCTGTTTGGTCACATGAACCGTGATGCCAGCGTTTTAAGTTAACATAACCATCTTTAGGCTGTGGTGGACATGTCTCATATTATCTCGGTCGTGGCAGATGAAACCTTTATTACGCTTGGGTTTAAATGTTATTACGGATGGACCTTTATTACACTTGGGTCCAGTTATTGCACTTGTGCCTTCCACAAGTTCCACTGACAAGAAATCCGGATCCCTGAAGCGAATTTGGCCAAGAGGCAACCAAACATTTAGCCTCCCTTGGTGGCATTAGGGACCTTAAGATACCCTGGACGCGGCGGTAAAGGGAATGGAGAAAGCCTGGAGCCAGGACGCCGCCACCTTCGCGGGAAAAACAAATTAAGATTGAGCAGGTTGGGTGAAGCGGCTCGCCTGACGAGAGAGGATAAAGTAATGCTTTCGTGTTTTAATTCCATGACGTCTTTTAGAAAAACTCGTGAAGTCTTGCTTGGTTGATGCCTTAACGATCTTTTATTGGAAGAAAAATTTGTGCTGCCGGCTATGACTCCAGTTTCTCTCTAAAAAAAAAAACCAAATTTCTTCGAGGGAAACTTGAGGGTATGATCGGAGTTCAGGTTATCAGCTATTTGTTGCCAGACGTTTTCGCTTTCCGTTGTTCTAGATCTTGCTTTAAAACGATATGGTTCTGTTATGAGAACTTCCCGTACTAAGGCGAGACTTTGATCTTCAGACCGCTCCATCGCTGAACTGAAAGTGAACAAAATAAAATTATAAAAGTTAATAAATTAACCATGGCGTCTTGTTCAAGATCTCAATTTTCTCCGACATGTTCAAGTTTATTACAAGCCTAGATTTTTGTTTTCCAACAATTTTTACAAAATGTATTCGACTTCCCGTCTCTTAAATTTTTCAAATACTATCCTAAAGCGAGAACGTTGTCCCCTTAAAAACAAGCAGTTATAGTGTTACATTTGTGTCGAAAGACTTAGCGCTTTCATTCTCAGTTGTCGCCAAAACACTGAACCCAAAAGGCTTGATAGCATAAAAATAAGAGTCAATCTTGAGAGAACACCACACTAAAAACACTTAAATGTGTCTCTTGAAGTAAAATGGATCGACAATCCTGTACGGAAAGGAATTTCTGCACTGAAAACAAGAAAACCAACTCACCGTTTTACGAGGCGGCCAAACTTCTAGTTTTCACCGTCGCGACTTCAGGTCGACGCTGTGGCATTATGCTAATTAGTTCCAAGAATTGAACATTTCACTTCCGGTTGACGTCCTCCTCGGCCGCGTCCAGAGTATCTTAAGGTCCCTATTTACGCGGAGCCGCTCTTAAGCACCAGACGTTTCTGAGTCACGAACGTCAACCGGTAGTCCAAAGTTACGTTTCGTACTTACTGCGCATGTCTTGCCGTCCGTGACTTGTCGTCACCGACTTGAAAACCCCGCGCTTGCCGTCTGTGCTGTTTGTCACCGACGCCATGGACTCGGGAAAAGAAGAACATGCCATGTAAGTAATCGGTGTGTCCTTAATTTTCTTTTCTGCGGCGGAGAGGATTCTTATCTTTCATGTTTACATTTTCTACATTGTTTTTTTTTTACTGCAAAAGAGTATATTTTTGAGGAGCAAAACATGTAGTTCCTAACAACAACTTGTTCGGACTCAGGTGCGAGTTGTTTACATCTTTCACTCGGCAAAAATACACTTCTTTGCCGACCACTGCTTTTTTCTTTCATAGTTCAAAGAAGTTACAAACATCTTTTTTTGTCCAGCTGTGATTATTGTGCATGCAAATATGTGGTCAAACATTTCAATGGTTAACTTGTACATGTTTATCCTGTTTGTTTGAATGGAGCTCCAGCTCAAAGTAATTAATTTGCCTTGCTTTTGTTTGCAAAAAAGAGATTCCCCTATGGAGTGGACTGAAAGCCACGATGTGGCTTTATGCAAGGAGGTGCTGGTTCAGAATCCCTTCCTGGCCCGAAAGAAAACCGTTCAGCGAGCCGCAATTTGGCAGAAAATAGCTGATGAGCTGGTGTCCTTGAGCCGTCCAAAGTTCAAGGTAACACTCACTAAAAGATCTGTCCAAGACAGACTGTTGTTGATTATCACCAAACACAAAAGAAGAATGGCCACAGAGAGAAGAGAAAGTGGAACTAGTCCTGAAATTTCAGAGCTTGGCAAACTCTTGGAGGACGTTGTGGAAAAGGAGAAATGTTACGAACAGCGACGAGAAAGTGAAGGTAAAATCACTTGAAACCAAGGAGGTTTACTCCGAAAAATATGTATTCTTCCATAATTAAGACGAATCTTCTGTGATGACGTAGACTTAGTTTCTTCAGGCTGCATTCATTATGTACACCACAGAGGAGCAAAGGCAAATTTAAGGGGATCTTTTTTAATAAAAATGGGGGGTATGTTAAAAAAAAGTGCTGTAGGCATTAAGACGGGGGGGTGGCAAATCTTTTGAACCTTAAGGATTTGTAACATTACAGGAGACAAAGTGAATTAAGTTAGAACCATTAGTTGCATGCAGTACTCGCGTATACTAACAAGTCCTCCTGAGTCCTGCTATCTTCATCACCATGATCAACTTTATATTTAATGGCTCCCACTGGTAATATTATGGATTTCCTCATTCTCATTATATCAGTCATTATTGTGTTCATTAATCTCAGCACAATCACCATCACAACCATCAAACTCAACCCAACCTTCTTATTTTTAAAGCTTTAAAGCACTTATTCAGTATTTGTCAGGCCATCTTGACTTAACTCATAATTTGCAAGTAAAATTGTTATCGTTAGTGTTTCTTTTCTTTAAAAATAATTCCACAAATAACTTATTTTAAAATAGGGGATGCAGATAGAAAGAAACAAGAACTAGACAAGGCAAAGGGGGAGGAGGCAAGGAATAAGGCAATGGAGAAACTGTCTGAAACGAAAAGAAGAAAGAATGATGGGTCTGAAGCTAAGTAGAACCAAAAAGGAGGCGATCTGGCTCGGAAACAGTACAGTATCTACGCGAAAAAAGTGAAAGAGAGGCGTCAATTAAGGAGAGAGAGTTTGAGCTAGAACAAAGAAAACAAGAGGAAGAACAAAAGCATCATGAAGGGTTGCTGCTGCTTATGCAACAGCAACAGCAGCAGCAGCAGCAACAACAACAGCTTCAAATGATGCTTTCTCAACAAAACCAAATAATGATAACTTTGCTAGAGAAATTTGCGTCAAAGAGCTAAAAGGACTCTGTTGGTTCTTTGCTGTTGATTGATTGATTGACTGATTGATAAAGAGGGCTTTTATAATCATTTTTGTACTTTTGTGCCAGACTTTTGTTGTCATTTGAAATTCCTCCATTAAATATTTATTTATTACATTTAAGATGATATATTGAGATGAAAAATCTTGATTTGGGAACCTTCTGTTTTGCCTTTATTAAGTATTATGGCAATGACAAAATCTGGCTTTAAAGATGCAGCAGTATCGTGATCCCGTGTTCTCACTAAACATCAAAGGTCAAGCTGTCTGCAACACTACAACCTGACTGTATATCTATGGTCAATCGGTCTGTGATGCTAAATGCAAAATTGTACAGACCTGTAATATTATACAACTATCCCCCGAAGGGGAGGTGAATAGTGGTGGATATATATACTGAGACCTGAAGAGTCGAGGCATATATCTAGCTCTGTTGACCGATCCTGAGGGGGATATTTGTTTTAGTATTTACCGAATCAGTTGGATAAAAATGAAAAAAAGTAACATTTTGTAAATTAAAACTGTCACTTAGTTGGAACTTTGTTTACAACTTACAAACATTTCGGGGATGTTGTCAAGTGCATTTTTACGATTTTGTTGCAAATTCAGCATGAAAATAATTTTCTACCTACCAGTAAACACCCACAAACCAAAGTTCACAAACTACAATATAGGATAAGTATTGATAGAACAGTTTTATTGAGTATTTTGTGACCATTGTTGAAAGGTACAAACTCCTTGGCATGTTCCTATTTTCTCTTGTCTTTTCACCAAAACCTTCTGTTTTTAAGCTCTTTGAAGTATAATTCTTGTTCTACTGCATCTTCTTCATTTTATCTCTATCATTTAAGAACTCTTGGCCATATTTTTTGAGTGTAATTTTATTGTGCATTAGCAAAGAATTTCATGGCTCTAGGTGCCATAGGGAAAGCACAATACGTGCAATCACAAAGAAAGCTACAGCCATGTGAAAACTTCTGTAGTAAGTATATTAGGTACAAACAAAGAAAGATAAAAATTAGTTAAAATATTCATGCACTGTTGGTGGATTCAGATCAAAATAATTAGATGTTTGATTTCCATACATGCATGTGATAGCATTTTGGATTAAGGCACAAACAAGATACATCTTCCCAATTTGGCTCAACCCCATTTTCAAGTTGTTTTTAAAATCCATGAATTTAAATGACCTTACAATGTCACCAAAAACCCACTCCACTGATGTTCTTACTTTGCTCATTGATTCATTAAAGGCCTCCATGGCAGGCATAAGCCTGTTCCCTTTATAAGGTGACTGCAAGTGAACCCGCACAGGGTACGCTGGATCACCATATATACACATAGGTTGTCCGCCAGTGGAAAATGCAAATCTTTCAAGGTCATTAAGCAGGTGGGACTCTCCAAGCATCCAAGCATCATGTCGCTTACCCTCTGGAATGAAGACAAAAAATATATACAGTTTGTGTGATCATGCACTTCCTGACCTCCTCCCCCTGATCTTAATTGGTGCTCTTTGTTGAGAGGCAGGATAAAAAGCGGCAGAACGTCTTTCATCAAAGAACTCATTGCATTTGCAAAACTCAAAATGATAATATATTTGTTTTGGTTTTACAAGGGAAAAAGGATGGTTATGATTATTGAATGGAAGTACACCTTTAAGCGTTTCATTTGTTATCATTCTAATAATCAACTTTCTTCCTCTTTACCAAATATTGTAAGCTTTTAAGCTTAAACCTTAAAAGGTTTGCAAATGTCATAGCTGGTATTGATCCATACCAGAAACTAATGAGTTTCTGTCCATACCGAATGGATCAACTTCTTAACTGAAAGAAGCTCCTACAGAACTTATTTTTTCCACTTGACTTGTGTGACTTACCTACAGGTCCATACATGTTGGCTATAAGCCCATTTGGTAGCGTTACAGACTGGAATTTCAAGGCGTGAATCCTTTTGTGTCCATTGTAAGTAATTTCCTGGTTCTCAACTGGTCTGGATATTGCTCTGACAGTCCCGTCTACAAATCCAAATCAGTTATTTAGGGCGGCTCCCTTAGTATGAATCGCATCTGCGTAGATTTCTAGTTGATATGGGTTGAGGATTTCGTGGTTCCACTGCTTAATCCGATGAGCATGTTGATTGAAAATTTCATCAATCACACAGTTTGAGATCATGCTCAGCTCTGGGGCAGGCCTCCCAAACTGAGGAATGAGATCGGAGTAGCGACACGGGTATGCCATTCTTCGGAGCAGCAAACATAATCCCTCCAACTGATCAGCCACTGTTCTTTGACTGCATCGAAAAACCTCAGGTAAACCAAGGACTTCAGCCAGTTCTGAAATGTCGTCTTTTTGGAAACGAAAGTTGGCCTTACACTCCGGTTCCTCTATTTCTTCCAGGTTAAATCTCTCGTAGTTTTCGTAGGAAAACTCAGGATTTCTGGAAGTATTTTCCTCCAGTAAAAGAAGAAGTTCTTCGTCCGATATCGCCTTTTCGCTGTGCTCTATCAAAAGCAATTCTCTAGTTTGTTTAAAAAACGCCATGTAGCGAGAAAGATAACTTGATTCTCAGGTTACCACGAGAAAACCAGTGTTTACATTGAAGTTTACATTTCTTAAATTTTGCAGCCGCGTCCGTGGCGGGAAGTCTAGTGCTTAAAACAAATATTGGCGCCAAAAACGGCGTCTTCGACTTAGTCTCCACTCGGTCCCCCCACGTTCGTGTTCTCAAAAACGCCTGGTGCTTAAGCTCCCTAATGGCGCGCCAAAATTGTAATCGTTGGCAACAGTAAATGAGTTAAAAAATCATAATTTTTGTACTCAATTATCTCACTGTTTTAGTATATACTAAAACAATTATTCACCTCAGTGTCGGTGGCTAGTATTGGATATTTACCTCCCCGCTTCGCGTCCTCGGTAAATAGCCAATACTAGCCACCTCCACTTCGGTGAATAATTGTTATTTATTTAAAAGAACCCACAACACAGTGGCTGCATGGTACTTGTATGTATATTGCAGGATTTTTAGCCAAAAATGCTAAAAGTAAGGATATTTCAAAAATGTCCAAAAGCAAGTTATCATTCGACTTCAGAGCAAGGTTTGAAGCACTTCTCCGTTTCTTATTCGCTCAAATCCCCCGTCTAATCGTTCATAACCAGCTAACGTTAACCAAATTTGGAAGGCGTTTACGATATCCAGTAAAATGACATTAACGGATAGAGAAACAAGTGACCAGAATGGATACCTCAAAGTTAGATTGTCATCTTCTCTCAAAATACATGATAGGAGTCTTATAAATTAAAGTAGTAAATAAGAGAATAAAGAGAACAGAAGAAAACAGTGGATAGTATGTAAGACTTGAACCCGCTTCATTTGATGTATAATCCACATCCGTATCAAGGGAACAATCAAGTCAGGGGAACCCAACGAGAATATAGTTCAAAACCATTTAAACATAGCATTGTTAAACGTATTTTAGTATTTAAACGGTAGATATAGGCAGATTTTTATCCCCTAAAAGTTCTTCCTCTGTTCGGATTTCCTAGCTGAAAGTTTAGTGATCCGAAATTATAGGGATCAAAATGTACCTTTTCGAAAATTTCAGCCAGAAAAAAGGCTGCCGAAAATTCTAGGTGACTTTTCTAGGGTGACTTTTTTAGATGTTCGAAAATCCTAAGAGATGGAGGCAAGCAAGAAATTGTACAACAAATGTTCCGAAAATTCTAAATCTCAAATCGTCTTCCGAACAGATATTTTCCGAAAATTGACGTTGGGTGCCCCTGATCAATCAAACAATCAATAAACAAACAAACAATCAATAACTGCAGACCCCGGTTAAACGTTAATTTTAACGTATTTACATTGCATTGATTATTATATTATTGCAAGCTAACTGTTTTTAAAACAGTGCTTAACTTAATCACTGTGGTTCAGTGCTAAACCCTGTATTCAACTCTTTTCCTTGCACAGCTGTCTTTTACCCTGGCTTATTTCCCCACTTTTCTAAAAAATATGCCCAGTAAATTCGTATAATTAATTGCTGGTTTTTACTGTCACGCGATAAAAATTGAAAATGCAAACCATTCAATACAGAAAGTCTAGAATCTGGGAAATGAAAGGAGATGAATATACGAAAAGCCTTGCCAAGAATAGCGTAGTATAGAGTAAAGCATTGTGTAATAAACATATGGTGTCCAACCTGAATTTAAGGTATTCATTCTAGTCACCACCGATACAAAAAGGGACGGAATGCGAGAAGCCCTAGGGACAAGCGTTACGGGTGACAACTGATATTGGAATTATATCTATTAGCCGGACTAATGATACCTTTATGTCCAAGGAAAAGGCAAAAGAAGACGGCGCAACCTAATATCGATCGAGGTAAACTTGTGTTAAAGGAGGAATTATTTTAGTGGAACAATTAATAAATTTGACTTGCGCACTGGGTCTGAAGAAGTATGCAGATCTCAACAATTTCCGATTATTTCGAAAGATTTCGGAAGATCTCCGAAGATTTTTGAAGATATCTGAAGAATTTTCCACTTTATTTTGGTCGTCATTTTCACATGTCAAAGATATACTTTTTACCGAGCACAGATACGAATTTTTTTCAGAAAAAAAAACCTCGAAACACTTAACAATATTTTTTCCTGAAACAGTAAATATTGAAAAAATGGCCAATTTAAAAGCAAACACTAAAACTTTATTCCTTAATTTACCTTATTCAGTCAACTGCCTTTATAGCGGACACTGTAGGGACCTCGAGTTAATGTCCTCCTTAGCGAGAGTCCGTAATAGCGGGAATTTGTTTCAGTCAAACATCTGTAATTTGTTTTTCCCGGGGATTTAGCTACTGTCCGCTTTATCGGGGTGCCTGTAATAGTGGGAGTTTATTTCAGTCAAACATCTGTAATTTGTTTTTCCCGGGGATTTAGCTACTGTCCGCTTTATCGGGGTGTCCGTTATAGCGGGAGTTGACTGTAGTTCCTTAAACTTATACGTCACAGCACTTTTTTTGCGAGAGGCTTCCGAGAGACGGACTAAAACAAACTGAGTGCTAAAATGGCAGCAAATTTGAACGTTTAAAGAAAAAAATTCTTTAAAAATTATGTTGTTTTCAAATCATGAAAAAAATTTGAAGCTAACGGGGAGGTATAAGATGATGACCATGCGGTCTAATTTTTCTACATTTTTTTCAAGACAGTCAATTTATAATTACAATACAAAAAAGTTTTTAGCTCCTTGTAGCAAGTTACTTTTTCTCAATTATTTTTTTTTTAAAGAAATTTTACGTATTTCTCTATTTCGCCACTGGTCCAGTAACATTCATGGATTTTGCTTTATAAAATTTTCGAAGGTAGTTAAAGTTTCGAACATCTCGCGTGCAAAAAATAGGATATCGGGCACACATGGCGAAAACAGTCTTAAACGTGGTGACTCCATCTTTTTATTGCATTTTTAAATGTCCTATACCAAAAAAGTATGGATAGTACTACCTTTACAGGGGAATTACCTTAAGTGAGTTTATTTTCTCTATTTATTCACTCTTAACTCGATTGAACTGGAGAAAAATTCCTTAGAATGCAGTTTCTAGGCATCTATTTCAAGAAAGAATATATCTGGATGGGGATTAAGGGGCAAGCCCTTGTCATCTGTATTGTTTGACTTCAAGGCCAAAGTCCCATCGCACCTTGAACAAAGGTACTTTTTCTCACAGGACTTATTATTGACGTATCTTTCTATTTCACCACTGGTCCAGGCTGGCTTCACAGCAAGCAAAGCCGAGAAAGGTCCGTTGGATATTGTCTGGGGGATGAATGTTATAGAAGGATTTGGAGGCTTGTCTGGCTTCATACGCTGTTGAGATAAAATATCCAAATACACAGTTATGTAATATATCAAGCATGAGACGCACTGTTTCATCACTAGATGAAACACAATGAAGAGAGTTGAAAATACGACGCGCAGCGGAACATTTTTAATGAACTTCGAGGTGTTTTAACAGTTTATGAAACACTGTGTCGAATGCTTGATATTACTTCTCAAACAAAATGATTCTAGAACGAGAAATTAAGGATACAAAGGAGAGCAATTTTCATCTGATTTCTAAACACTCATTAAACATTTAAAATTTCCTTAACTTGTATTTTCTTTATGAATGATTAATGGCTTTGAGAATTGGAATTCTAGAATAAGTGGTAACAAGTTGTCGGCAAAGTGTTTCTGCGAGCAGATGCTGGGAAGTGAAACATCATCTGAGAACCGTAACCTAACATAAACATTTTTCTAATTGCAGACCCTTCACATTTTAGGGGCCACCCTTCCCTCCCCTGAGCTTTACGAGTTTTTGCGATCAACGTATTTCTAGTGGTCGTGAGATAAAAGACTACAAGAAGGGAGCCCCACAATCACCATTCCTTTGTAATCTGGATCTTTATAATTTGAGACTTGTTTTAAAATATTCTGTCAATTATTTAAGATAGTGTTCACTCACCTTCACAAATACATCAGTGTCGTCGCCAAATTCATCAATTTCCATGCTGTAGTTTTCTGAGTCCTTTTGAAATACCAGGTAATATACAAATACGTGTGGAATCAGAGTCTTTTTCTTGAAAGTTATTTTGCCTAAGTATAAAAAAAGAAAAATAAATCCGTTTTTGGCAACTTACTTTGGGCTAGAAGGACAAGGTAATAAAAAGGTTTTGGAAGTAAATTGTAGTACTACTATTAAGCCCATGATGGGGATCCTAATGCAGAATGATTTTCTTCAGAAGTCGTCAGTTAAGAAAGTAAAAAGAAATTGGGTCGAGCTAACTGCGCAAAGAATTATGGGACTGTTACTAAGAACAGGGGAAAAATGGCCAATAGATGGTTTTCACTGTGACGTCATCAAATTGTAAAGTCAAAATAGCAAGGTTTTACGAATTCGTATTTACACTAGGTTGAAGATAAACAAAAAGTATATCTTTGTACAAGTTTCCATTTATGTAGCATGTTTCATTTCGAAAATACAGCAATTTGAACTTCCGAGTTTTCACAGTGCGTGACACCAAAATAGGAATGCTGTCTCGTTGAAAAAAAGTCTCTTCTCTTGATTTTCAGCAGTATAACCACTTCAAGTATTAAAAGATATGTCTATGCGTACGTATGCTAGTTCTCGAGTGAAAAGAAAGAGCTATTATAGAAAAAGTGAACTCCAGATGTTTTTGTTGATTTCCGGCGGCCATATTGGTGCACCAAAACGGTACAAAGGTGCGTGAAACGTTTCGGCAAATAACTCAGAAACTATGGGCCACAAAGACCTGAGACTTGGACAAATTGTTGATATATTAGTCTTTTATAGCATGTCATTTTCTTGGCTTCTTCCACTGGACGGTTTCCAATTTACTTTTTTGTTGCGTGACAGTGAAAACGATCTATAGTAGACCGGCTCGTCCCCAGTAAAGATCCTAAAAAATTACGGGACACATATTTCCCCTCCAGTCCCCTTCTCGTTTCTAAAGTGGTGCATCGATGTTTTTCGTGATTAATGCTTAACCCAAAGAGCCTGTTCTCTGCACAAGACTCAGTGTACTCAATCTATAATCCGCAATATGTCATTAACACATACCATTAGCACCAATAATTAATAGCAAGTAGAAACCGACAATGAGGTTGTAAAATCCAACAGGCTGCTTAATAGCTCACGCATATTGCATATTCTTGAGTTAGTACATCAAAATTACAAATAATTAAATAAATAAATAAATAAAAATGTTTGTGACTCACTCAAATCTTCTTTCCCTGTTCCAGTGAAGATGGCATTATAGGTTTCTGAATGAAAATGTACAGTATATATAAATTATTAGGTAAAACAACTTACTCATCTACAGTCATCTTGGAACAAAATCCACACACAAGCACGCACACACAAAAAAAATTAAACAAAGGCACCAAAACAAGCCTAGAAAGTCTATAAAAGTTGTCCACGGTGCTACCAGGTGGTACTATTTGAGTATAGGTTAGCCGCTGAGGGTTTGAGACCCTGACCCTTTTTAGGACAAAAGCCACATGTTTTTGTCCTGTTTTGGACGAGGATTCAAAATGTACGCCGTCTTGTTTATAGTCATTTTCTGCGGGACCATACAAGTACATAGAGTATTGCAAAAGCTATTTATAATTATGGTTTAAGAATAAAAACTAAAATTTAATCACCGGTCAATTAAACTACAATGTTAATATTTCGTCACGAAAGTCAAAGCAAGCTGAAATATATTTCACGAATTGTAAATTAATATAGTAATTAGATGTGTTCATCAGTTCATTGATCATTCACAGGTAACTGGGTAGTATTTGGAATCAAAATTAATTAAAGGGTATTTAGAACAATTAAAAAGAAAGTGAATTTCGTCTTCTATCAAAAATCAAATCAATCGTGCGGACAATACCCTGCTTAGGACAGACTTGCGCCTGTTTGGAAACAAAGAGGTAAAAAAACCATACCGTGTCCAGCGGCACATCGCCTGATAGGCCATATGGATAAGGGTCGCACATCACCCTGTCACCGCCGGTTTTTGTATATTGACCATTTTTGGGGTGTATTTGTTTGCATGCGCTTATAACTGTCGCAGTAGCTCGTTGGAAGTTTTTGTTTTTGAGCTTGAAAGCAAATGCGACAATTATACGTTTACGTTGCAGTTGCAAATAAATTTACGCTGGAATTCGCACATCAATAGAAATAAGAGAAAATAAAAATACTTTTCCCCTGCTCCTTTTCTGAAGGTGGATCCTCGGGCAGTTCTAACTCTAAGAAGCGTTGACTGGATAATGACCAAATCTTGTGCACGTAGTCTCCCTGACCGGCCATCTCCTTCCTGTGCGTTTAATCTATTTAATTGAATGGAATGATAAAGTTTCTTGTTAAAACAAACAAATTTTTATCCTTTTTACCAAATAGTTAGTTTATACAGTTTACATAGTTATTTTGGTAAAACAGTCGTTAAGTCTACAAAACTCACCTTAATTTTAAGGATAGCTCAGCCTCCTGTGTATTGAAAAATAGCAACACCTCGCTTGGAAAAACTGCCTTTTTATGCTCAGGCAACGGAAGGTAAATGTGACGAATCACAAGCATGCGGTTTGAAATTCTTCCAAAGAAACTTGAAATAATTTTTCATATTTCTTATTATTCCGGCTAAGTTCAAAAGTTTCATTTTAGACAATCACGCACGCAAAGGAAATCATTTCTAACTGAATTCACTAGACCTTAAGTCAAAAATTTCGTTTCAGTAACTTGATTTAAATTTGATTCAAAGATTGTTTATATTTATAATGATAACTTACTGATTAACAAACACTTAAACAAAACAATCACGAAGTTGATGTTTTTGTTTTTTCTGAAACGTTTCATTTTCTGGTGATACTGTGGGAAATATATCAGTTTCGATGAAGAAACTGAAAGCCAGAAGATGTCTAGTAGATTGGTGGAGGTTTTTGGTCTCAGAAGAGATCGTAACTCCTAGTTTCGAAGCTTTTAGAAACTTTCAATATCTTGGGTTAGAAAGCATCTACTTTCTTCGCAGAATTCTGTTATTTATGGCGAACAACAAGTCAACATTGATAAAATTGCCCCTTTCGTTTAATTTTTTGTCGGAGGTGACGGTATAATTATCAAAATAAATCTGGGAGCAAGGAATTGTCTGGACTATTATGCTTACTTTTGTTTACACTTGCCCGGGCACGGTGCCCTAGTACGGTACTCGTTGGACACTATAATGTGAACAGACCCTTTTTTCAAGTACTCAAACTAGAATAGACTTTGCTGCGAGGCTTGAGGTAATAAAACAAAAGATATCACTTTCACGCTCAGCAATGAATCATACATTTTTATTCCCCCAAGTCTCGAAGCCAAGTATGAATTTTAATATATCGAAAATGGCCTATTCGGGAATGGTGCCAGTGCCCCATCGAGTACAAGGGCACCGGCTGTCTGTGTGCACACCGTTTTTTAGTTAGTTCTGGGGCAGTCCATTGCTTCGTACTCGCTACCAAGCTCATATTTCAATATGGCGTCTGACTGGGCGAAATGGATTTAATATGTACGCAGTCACATATCGGATACTCAAGGTGTGAACACAAGACCATTTTGTGTCGGTACCCAGGACAGCACCTTCGTCTTTTCGGATTATCAGAGGCGCGGTTAAATATGTAATTTGTGATAATCCTATTAGCATAAATTGAGTTTTTGCCGGCATGAATCAGAGGGCTTGGGACGAGTGCTAAGCGTGGATTATAGTTTGTATCAGGAGCCCATGTTTGTAATGTGTGGCCGTTAGGAGGGTGAGGCATTCTACGGCCAGCCTTTACCGCGTTAAGTTGTCTATCAGGTTTCGTCTTTGTTTTAATTTTCCAAATACTGTTATGTAGACACCAGGTTTTACTTTTGTGGCAGGTCATATCCTTCTGTAACTTTTGTTTTTTTTGTGCTTGCTAGTATTTACATAGTATACGCTAAAACCCCAAGGGTAGCACCGCTGCCTTGGTCGTGGGTGCACGCTCCCTCCTTTTTCCACCTGCTCGTTTTTTGGGGTCTTCGTGCCCTGCTTTGGTGCATTTAATTTTATTTAAAGGTAAAGGACATTTGTAAGCATATTGAAGTTTAATAAACGGGACGGTGGCTTGGCTGGCCAACGCGCCCATATATTATCATTTTGTGTGCCCGGTTGAGCAGTGTTGTTCATTCAACAATTCACGCGCATAAAAAATCGTATAATTTAATGAACTGCGTCTTAATTTGTCAAATATTTCAAATCTTGTAGAATTTTACAATGTATGAGAAATGGTTCTGAAAAATATTGTTTAGCGACATAACTTGCTTTTGAAGGAACTTTTGACAAAACCATTTTTGCTGTTGTTTTTGGCACATTTCAGTTTCTTGTGAACCAGCGGCAAAGGATGCAAGATGTAAAGGAAATATATGTTGATACAAACTGCCACTAGAAATTCGTCGATTTAAAAAAAATATATATAACTAATATTGACAAGGAGTAACCTTGCTCAATTTTTTTCATAGTCTATTTAAAGTGTCTTGCTGACATAAAATAATATATCACTCAATGAATTATTTGGAAATCATTTTTATCATACTGTGATTCGGAATGTAAATCAGTTTCAATCGAAGGAAACTAAAAGTTAGATATAAATAGTCTCAAGCTAAATACAAAAAGGCAATTTGGTGGAGTTTTTATTTTTGGTTTCAGAAGAGTACGTGATCCCTTGGTTCGAAGAGTTTTTTCCCATATGTTGGTTTAGAAAATACACAGCTAACGAAGAATTTTGGGCCTCACCATTTGCTCCAATCGCGGAAAACAGAATCTCTTATTTATGGAACCAAAACTTGACGACAAGTCAGCACTATTCAAATTTTGCCATTTTTGTCCATTTTTGCTTGTCGGATAAGGACTGATCATTCACTGTATAATTATTTAAAGAAGGCAGAGAACAAAGGATTGTCTCGCCGAATAAGTAATTCCGAATAGGCCATTTTACAGTGACAGATGGAAACAAACTCTTAACAAAACCATGTTTAATCTTGGTTCTAGTACATAGTTTCACTTTCTTGTAATTCTTTAGCAGCACATTTCAGTAGTAAGGCTTCTAAGGATGCTAAATCTAGAAAAGCAGATATCTTTATATAATCGGCCATTTTCTAAAAATTTTTCTATTTATAAAAAAAATTACAAGAAGTACATTTGACACTATTTGTCAGTTTTCATTTTCTGTTTTAAATTTCCTCCTCACAGATAATAATGCACACTCACTGAGTTATTTTGGAATCAACCTCTGTTTCATTATCTTGTGACCCTTTCGGGAGACATATCAGTTTCAATTGAAAAAACTGCAAGTCAGATGGTCTCTAGTAAATACGAAATAAAATTTTGGTGGAGGTTACATTGGAATTACATTTTTTGTTAGTAAAGTCCAACTAGTGGTCTGTTATCAATGGCGGCAAAAAAGGATTAAAGACTAGCTTTAACTAGCTAAATTTTTTTTATTCTCGATATGTTTGACCAACTAGTTGGATTTTACTAAAACAATTATTCCTCTCGCCCTCATGGTCTCTGAGTCAATAGCCCATTCGGCTTTTGGCCTCATGGACTATTGACTCAGAGCCCATTCGGGCTCGAGGAATAATAATTATTGATTAAATATTCCTGAAATTTAATCGTGCCTAAAAGCAATGTGCGCTTCAATAAAAAAGTCAACCAGTTGAATAGTGATCTGCGATCCTCTCGATGCGAAAAATACAAAGTCTAAACAATTAAAGTAAAAAACAACCACAGGTTTGATAGGGGAGGGTCTGGACCCCGATCCTTTCCCGTGGATCCACCACTGCCTTGTTTAAATACACAGATAACGGCAAATTTTGATTAATACAGGCACCATCTACTGTAATGGACCATTCTACGTCAGTTTTTTCATCTTTTGACATGGATCAGTCAGGGAAAATCCGTCAACTTCACTGGAATGAGCGCCTTAAAATTAGTGAAATTGCTAAATCTGAAAGTGACACGTCTTACGCGAGCGAAGATATAGCTTTAAGCAAAGATTGCAGACGTTCGTTTGTATGGTGGGGAGGGGAGGGGGGAGGGGGGGGAGTCGGGTGACAAGTTTGTTCCCCCCACCATACAAACGTCTGTAAAATTTCGCGACTTTGAGAAGCTATATCTTCGTTAGTTTTTAACAATTCGCTTTCAAACTTGGCGATTTTATTAATTTTAAGGCGCACTTTTCACGTAGTGTCGACGAATTTCCCCAACTTGCCCACGTCAAAAATTGAAAAAAAAAAAAAAAAAAAAAACCGTGGAAGGGTCTACTGAAAACTTAACAAGTCAACAATATTCAAATTATTATTTTTTTTTTGTTGGTCGAGCATGACTGGTCATCTTGTGTCAGCCTCGCAGACGTCTTCTCGATGAAACTTTACACGCAAAGTTCGGAGGGATGGAGAAAGTGCACGAGAGACCTCTCTTTTCTTTCTCCTTCCCATGGTCCCTTGCGCTTTGTCACTAGTCTCTCGCGTCTCTTGCGTTTCGCGCTCGCCTCTATACGAAATACTGAGTGCCTGAGGAGGAGACAGCTTCTGTTTAATTAACTAATCAATTAATTAATTAATTAATTAAATAAAACAGATAACAAAGAAATGTCTCGCTGAATAATAAGCTAAAAGCATTCTAGATAATGACGTAGTTAAATACCGTCCGGCCAGAATTCTCGCACGCTTCCTACATTGACCTCGCGAATCAAGTCAAAGCAAACTTTGTCTCAAAAGTAACGTGCGTCGCGAAAACAGGCTGTCAAAGATAAATTTAGACTCGCGATTTCGGCGATGACGTCGAATTGTTTCCATCCCTAAACGAACAAAACCCTCTTTTGCTATAACACCACAGCATAAATTACAATAAACCGACGAAATAGACAAAACTTCTTTGGCCTTTTGCCATGCAAAGTTATTCCTTTTTTGTAGTGTACAAATTTATTTTTAGCCTTGCGGAGTATTGCGTGATTGTTGCGAAAAGAAACGTCCAATCACAGAGCGCGTTAGAAAATTTAGCCAATCAGAGGTGGATACAGATTCTCCTGCAAACCTGCGGATATCAGAACAAGCTTTTGGGCGCCGTTACGCGAACGTACTATATCGAGTTCTCTCTGATCCGGGTCTCGAGTGACAAGTCCAGCTGCAACACAGGCTAACCCGACAGCCACTTTTGTTGCATCTCAAAATTTTGCTTTCTACGCCTGCTCAAACTTGAGAAGACGACCAGAAAACGACTTGAAAACACCTTTTTCGCTTGTAACAGTATTTCCAAATGCCGTCCCACCCAAAAGCAGGTGTATTTTAATTATCATTGTGTAGACAAAAAGGAAAATTTTCTTGAGAGCATCACGCGGTCTGAAATGGGAAACAAAAACATACAAGCAGAAAAAGTCTCCGTCCAATGTCGGTTGTGCCCGCGGCGTTTTTGGTAAAATCTCCGGATAAGAATGGGACTTCGGGTATTGTCCCTGTAAGAACTGGGTAAAATTAGTAGCCTGCAACAAACTGCTAATAAGTAGAGCGGGGAATTGGCGAGCAAGGAGAGGGGGAAGAAAAGACGGGGAGCTTGTGGACTTTGTTTTGATGCGGCCAGTCCGTCCACTTGCAGTTATCCTGAAACACATGTCATTAACATGTCAATAAGGTAATTACACCTGCCAAATTATGTCTTTTTTTTACGCTTGAATGCCGTGGTTACATGCAAATTATAGAAACACGTATCACAAAGCTATGTTTACACGTCCTTTATTAAAACCTTGCCGACCATACCTCAAAACTAAGTACAAGGTGACCGTTTTTCTGACATCGTTAAAAAGATATGAAGTACCCTAACGAACACAAACACTTTTCTCTTATATTAAACACAATAATGACACATGCACTAGACAAATAATTAACTCTTCTTAGAACCAAAATTCACGTGTCATGGATATTTGTATAAACGATAATCAAGGCGTCATTCGAGAACGACCATTTTAAACCGTAAAATATTTTTTCACAACTCAACAATTCCTTCCTTTAAAACTACCGCCACGAAAAATAAGATTATTTTCAATTTTTTTTTGTGTTTAAATAAGTTGTTGATGAATACAGGTGAATGACATATAGATAAGTTACGAAATCGTTTGCTTTAAATTACACTAATAAATTCCTTCATTTTAAGTTCTCTTCTTTTAATAATAACTTATAAATTAATTTACACCGTGAGTGTCCTACTTCGCCACATGTAAAGGAATCTAAGACAATTTTGGATTCTGGATTCCGGACTCTATGTAAAGTGTTCCAGATTCTTTGTCAGTGGAACTCGTGATTCCGGACGTTAGTGGGATTCCGGATTCATAGAGCTGTATTCCGGATTCCAACGCCTAGGATTCTGGATTCCACAGCAAAAATTTCCAAGATTCAGGGATCCATTCATTCCCTTACATTGGGTGGCCTACTATATACTGAAACAAAGGCCGGGTTCCTGTAGCTTCAGTGATTATCTCAAGGGGTATACTCTTTTAGGCAGCCGATTGAATTGCCCTTGTGATGGGTGTTACACTGTGTATTTGACCTCCTGGTCCCGCCAGGGAGGTCTCACCCATAAGATCGAGGTCGATTTGGCGTGCAGCCTGTCTTCCCTCTGAAATGGCTGTTACAATCAGAGACTGTCCCCGATGGCAATCTGAAAATAAAGATGGATAGTTCGATCTCTGCCTTTTTAAAATAAACCGCTTCGACTTGTATTTTCACACCCTTGGCATTCATCGTTTAATAATGATGATGATGATGATGGTGATGATGAAGATTACAGGGCACCCAACTCAAGAATGGAAAATCAAATTTCACGCCATTCTGAGTGCAAAGCTTCAGAAAATATGGGCTGACTTAAGGCTATGCATCATATCTCTAGCCTACGTCGCAGACGTAACCCTACCGTCTGAAAAGCAGCGCCTTTATCCTTGTTCTGGGCCCTCCACGGACTCAACGAATTACCGGAAGTGCGTCTCTTCAACTTGATTGGCAAATTGACAATAGCTTTTTTAATGGACCAATCATGGCGCGTACACAAATCTTGGTACACTGGTGGGGGCCCAGAGCAAGGATTTCGGCGCTGTTTCTCAGACGGACTTGAAGGGTTGTATCTCGGCTGTCAAGTTCATTTTGTTTTTAATACCAGTTAACGCACGCGAGTTACGCGTCCTTATTCGCAACGAAACTTGCGAAACTACTCGTGAATGATAAAATGAGTCGCAGCTTTTTGTCAAACAAAATGTCTCCCAAGCATTAATATCAGTCATTACAAAGAACAAAAATGAGTTTTGAAAAACAGTTAGCCAAACAAGTGTTCAAAAATCACCAATGCAATCCGTTTCACTCTTCTTCAAGTTTGTCCATCTTTGCTTCCTTCTGTATTTGCTTTGTTATTTATACCCTATTCTAACTTCTTGAGCGGTTATTTTTGTTTCACTTAATTTTGTAGCAGTTCCCTCCGTTTGAAGTTTAGTGGGCTTAAGCAAAGACGTTTTTGAGCGACGCACGTCAACCGGAAGTGGTCTTTTTTTCATTTTTGGACGGCGGTTTTGACCAAATTTTTGGACAAATCGCCTCTATAATAGTAAAGACACTTAGAAACACAAATTTGGTAGCGTTAAGGTGCTTTAAAATGAAAAAGACCCCACTTCCGATTGGCATGCGTCGCTCAAGACGCCTTTACTTGAGTTTCCTTGTGATAAATTTCGCGACGAAGCCCCTTTAGCCAGTAGAGCAAGGTATCTTACCTCCGGCTGCATACACTTTGGGAACACTGGTCAAAAAGCAGTTCTTGTCAGTCGCAAAATTACTCCTGGGATCCTGTGAAGGCAAAACAGAAAATCGGCATTAATTTAAATTGAAAAAATGTGATGAGTCTTGCAGAGGAAGCATCATGCGGAATAATCTGTTCAAAAGTTGTTTACAGTCTCATTGTTCAGACAATGGGGACCAGAGGCTTCTTTCTCGCGTGTGGCGGAAATCTTGGGACAAATCGCGCAAGAACAGTCTCTGGCACCCAGGGTACATTGTACACTTCATGCCCTCCCAACAATCTCGCACTCCGCTTCCATACCATGTCAAGTTATTTCGAGATTTTTTTTTCGAGCGCCTTATGATCGCAGAAAAATACTAGTAACAGAGCTGAGAACAGTACCTGGTTAACACAAGATACATGAAAGAGTTTTTAACCCGGGGGTTTAAAATAATCACTTTTCACAGCAAACCTATCATACAAGCATCTCTGTTGCACCCTGTCAGGGATTATTTAGTAAACACTCCATGATGAGAAGAAATTTGTAAGCGTAAGAGGGCGGTTGTTAAACAGGGATCCGTTGAACTTGTGAAAGGCGAGAAGTTGATTTAAGAAAACTTGTAGCAACAGCCCTAAGATTCACAATAATCTTGTTTAGAGTGGTTAGTTAATCCCTATCTATTATCTACTGCAACTGATTTATGAGCCAAAGTTTAAGTGGCTACCACGGCCACACTTTCTTTGGTTTCAAAATTAAAAATGGCGATTACAAACAGAAAATACTGAGCGTTATTCGCCCCTAAATTACGCCTGCATCTTTGTGGTAGGTTCACGAATCACCTATGAACCCGTCCTTCTTACCTTTTTAATTCCAAACTGCTCTGCCAAAGTTTTCTCAGGTCCGAGAAATCCTGCCGCAATTATGACCAGATCAGCTTTGAAAACTTTTTCGCAGTTGGGAATCTCCTCCATTGTCCACCGTCCAGAAGCATCCTATAATTTAAGAATATCATTTGAGCTTAGCTACTTAGCGCATTTCCTCTAATAACCGCCCTCCCCCACTTCGCCCCACTAGTTTGGGGCAGACTAGCGCATTTTATGACCTCTCAGTGATTCCTTTGAAAATTTATCTGCCAACTGCTCTTACAATTATTAAATGACGATTCAGGGTCCTTTGTTGTTTTGATAATGGTTGCTACAGAAAATAATGCGACACATTACCGTATACAACTCACCTGAACCCAGTCGATTTCCACTGTCCGTATTCCTTTCACGTGGCCTCGCTCATCTCCAACAAATTCCTGTTAAAAAAAAAAAAGGTTAAAGGCAAGTCATAAATATTGTTCAAATCCCATTCACGAAGATGGATTTTTCAAAAATGTTTCGCACTGTCCCTATTTGATCGAAGCTTGAAGGGAAAACAAAATCGTGGACTTAAAGCTTCGGCGAAACTACGCTGGTACCAGTAGTTTCTTTTTTCTTTCTTATTCACTAAGGTGAAGAAAGGGGTATAAGGTAGAAGAAATTACCGCGCTTAAGACTCGAGAACAGAAGAGAGAAAACCCTTCAGCAGTATGTAGTTCTAACTTTTGAGTCCGTGGATGAAATCCTATGGTGTTACCATTTAAATGAAACCCCTTCAGCAGTATTTTCACATGGTACTATTTATTTAGTATGAAGCCCTAACGTTTGAGTCAGTGGATGAAATCCTATGGTGTTACCATTTAAATGAAACTCCTTCAGCAGTATTTTCACATGGTACTATTTATTTAGTATGAAGCCCTAACGTTTGAGTCCGTGGATGAAATCCTATGGTGTTACCATTTAAATGAAACCCCTTCAGTAGTACTTTCACATGGTACTATTTATTTAGTATGAAGCCCTAACGTTTGAGTCCGTGGATGAAATCCTATGGTGTTACCATTTAAATGAAACCCCTTCAGCAGTACTTTCACATGGTACTATTTATTTAGTACGAAGCCCTAACGTTTGAGTCCGTGGATGAAATCCTATGGTGTTACCATTCAACTGAAACCCCTTGAGCAGTACTTTCACATGGTACTATCTATTTAGTATGTAGTTCTAACTTTTGAGTCCGTGGATGAAATCCTATGGTGTTACCATTCAACTGAAACCTCTTCAGTAGTACTTTCAAATGGTACTATCTACTTAGTATGTAGTTCTAACTTTTGAGTCCGTGGATGAAATCCTATGGTGTTACCATTCAACTGAAACCTCTTGAGCAGTACTTTCAAATGGTACTATCTACTTAGTATGTAGTTCTAACTTTTGAGTCCGTGGATGAAATCCTATGGTGTTACCATTCAAATGAAAGCTCCTCAGCAGTACTTTTACATGGCTAAATTTACTTAGTAATCAATTCTTACTTTCTTTAGTAATTAGTAAGTAGTTGTAACTTTTGGGTCTGTGAATCTGAATTCCTATGATGTGACCTTACAAACGAAGCTACCTTGGCAGTACTTTCACATTGTACTTTTGTCTTTCAACCTTTAACGAAATGAAATTTAAAACTTGTAAGAATGAAAGTGTTTGCCGATTAACGCATGAGCGGTGAGCAGATCGTATACCTTGCTCATAATGCTAAAGACACGGGGATCAGCACCAAATTTCAGAGCAGCCTGTTGAAAGACAGATGGAAATAGTCAAATACTTTAAATTATGAGAAACAAAGCTTTAAACCCGTTCAAACCAGTAACAAGTACCGCCCTCAAGAGAACTGTTAACTAAAAAGAACCCAAGGGGGTGGGGGTAACTCCCCCATAACAATGTAGAGGGTACTCGTATGAAAATATCGAAAACACGCCTATGAGGTACTAAAGTTTGCGGGCAGGTTTAAAATTCATTTTCTCTTCTATACCACAAAGTAACAGGAACTTTTGAAAACATTTAATAGCAATAAAGACGGTTCAAATAATTTAAACAATTTATAATTACGTTAATCAGTTTTCTTGAGACAAGAACCTTTCTCCGCAAACTGCTTTTAAGGGAAAGCCTGCCAGCTTTATTGCCAGATACATAAGATGCCATGCCAAGAAGTCCGGTATATTTTCTGTTAGCACCGATAGCACTTCCATTTTGCCTTCAAAGGTATTTTTTGTTATCCATGGCTTACCTCCTCATGTCCATATTCAACTCGGTAGATTCGTGGCCACAAAGGCCATGGGTTGGTTACACTTCTGCTCTTGGGAGGAGTTCCCAACACTTCAAAATTAGTGATACTCTTGGCATTCTGCAGGATATTACAAACCAAACATAAATAATAATTACCAGCAGCAATCACTAAAAGATGATAACGGAGGTTTGCTAAGCTTCTTCGAGCACCTTGTCTTGATAAACCTAATCTACTATATAAGAATACTAGAGAAAGGCAGATGTCACAATTTGGGTATTTTCTAATAAATCATAGAAAGCGTAGTTGATTTGTCTGTAGCCTGCGAAACCAGTACTAATTTCGGTTTTCGTTTCTCTCCACCTGACAAGTAAGTTTTCGGCATGTGAAACAAAAGTATAAAAAAGCGCTGCTAACGCTGGCACGAGGCTAAAACGACGTGCAGAATGTGCTTTGTTTTGTTTTTGCTGTTTTTTCCCCTCCATTTCCGTTTAAAAGTTTTCGTGGACACCTTGCATCGCTCGAAAATTGATTCTCCAGTCTTCTAGCTGGCATTCGATGGCCTACCAATCGGGCGCATACGTTGACTTAACTGTACACTGACGTGAAAATTTTGTATTTTGGCACTGGAACTAGTTATAAAATATAACAGCTGTAGGGTATACCTGTCTGAGCGATGTTCCAATGCAATCTACACCGGTATCACCTCCGCCAATGATGATAACATCCAATCCAGTGGCATCAAGTGATGGTAGATTATAGTTACCTACAAGCACAACAAAAATTCACAATTTTCAAAGCTACTTTTGCGAATATTAACCATTTGCATGGGAAGGGGTTTTATACGACACATTCAACAGTTTAAACGATATTTACTGTGACATGAACATCTCATTCTTAATTCTTTACGACTCTGGAATTTTCCAAGACTTTCCGGGATTTCCAAAGCCCATATAAAACCTGTCATCTTCGTCCCGATTGACTCCTGGGATATTTAATAGCCATTTTAAAGCTCTTATAATTTATATTGTTATAAAACATGACTAGACGACAAATTCAATCTAAACTGATGACAGACCGCACAATCAGCAAAACATTTCAGCGAAGGTATAATTCTGAAGGTCAAATCTTACCCATAAGCCTTTTCTGGCAGGTCTCCAAGAACTGCATGGCAAAATGAATACCCTCCAAATCACGGCCTAAAATAAATTAAGACGAATATGAAGAAGAAAAAAGAACAACTGATTCTACAAAAACCACGACAGTTTCACGTTTACACAAGAATCCCGAACAAAGGCAAAGTCTGCAGACAGCCAGCCTAACAAATGATGAAATGGTCCTATGTTGCACTGCCGCAGAAAATGTCTTCTTTCCGAGTGTCTCCAACTCGATGTGATCTACAGGGTTCAAACGTACTCAGCAAAAATAAACATCAACAGGAACAGCCTCCTAACTGTCAATTACATTGGCTTTTTTTTGCAGCCATTACAGGGCTTGAAATTAACTTGAATTCCAGCTTGTCCTTTGGGCAAGCAGCTCTCAGCTTTTGCTTCCCTAGGGACATTTCTAGGTTGCCTTAGTAATGATTTAGTTAGAGGATGACTTGCTTCTCCATTGGGCCAGTGAATTGTAAAAGTTACTTGCTCACAAACAAAATCTACTCGTCCCGGATGACCGGACGGTACTTTTTTGACGGAAGAATAAGCGTCAAAAACTTGTCCTAACTTACTAAACTCCATCTTAAAGTGCGAAAAAAATTACCCGGCAATGGGATGTTGCGTGGACATGTTGAGCCCACAGCCAGTAGGACAGCATCATTATCATCTAAAATTTGCTGGGCATCCACATTCTTTCCCACTTCAGCGTTGTTAATAAACTTGATTCCTTCAGCCGCTAGCAGATCGATTCGTCGCTGAACAATCTGTAAAAAAAAAAAAGAAAAAAAGCTGGTCACATTCGCCACTTTACACGAGAAGGAAAATGGAGCCCATGGACGCTTACACGTGTTGCGTGCTTAAAAAAGGCCATTAATAGAACCATGGTTCGTACAACGTCAGACAAACAATTTTCAAGGACGTTTCAAGGATTTTCAAGGACAAATTATAGTTTTCAAGGACTAAGGTTTATGTAACAAATTGGCATTCTTTAACCCCCTTTTGGAGACATTTACGATTTTTACTTCTTCGGCCATCGTTGATCACATTATTTTATACTACTTTCCACAACAAAACTTTGCAAAAAGAGAAGAGAGACTTGCAATTGCATCTGAGGTACAGAATAGCATTTGGAATAAAGAAACAGAAATAAAAGGTTACTTATGTTTTAACCGCAATTAAGTTGTCATCATTAAAGTAACGTCACAGTTTAGTCGACTTTATAGAAGAATCGCAATACCCGTTACAAACACAAACCTTTTTACTCAGTTTCATTGGTGGCACGCCATACATCAACAATCCTCCACATCTATCATTTCGTTCGTACACGGTGACCCAGTGGCCAGCCTAATATATACAGCAAACACATCATTTATTAGAAAAAATAAAGAAAATGACGAGGCTGGTAGCAAGAGAATAAAGGAGCGGTTTTCTGACAAAATGTGCTACGCATCCTGGGAGCAGAATCTTCTTTTGTCTTCTTGAGTTAGGAGGAGAAAAGGAGGTTGGCCCTGCCTGAATCACGAAAGAACACACTTTGGAGCTAAGTAATGGTTACCTTGTTCAGTTGGGCAGCTGCTGCGAGTCCAGATGGACCACTGCCTATTATGGCAATCTTTTTACCTGTACGGTAAGTTGGGATCTGCAAGTGGAAGAGCAATTTTCGATGGGAAACTTTACTTTACGAGACCACTTACAAATCAAGATGGTCTTTTGGATTTTTAAGAACATAGTACATGCACACCGTAACAGGTTGAGCCAAAATTGTTCTGTAGGAAACGTCTAAAAAGGCGCAATAAAATGAAGAAGGCAAAAAAAAAAAAAACAAAGTGGTTGCAAACTTCGGTTTTATAATGGCTTTAAAACGACAAAAAATGGATGGGCAACAAGGACTAAAGCGAAATAACTACTAAACTTCCCACACACAACGAGGAAATTACCCGGCAATGGGAGTCATGCCAAGCCAACAATTCAGCCTGAACTGTAATATCAACACCAGTGGCAGACAAAAAGCTGAACAACAAACAATAACAACCAGAACTCAGGTACTACTTCAAATGCTAAAACAGCAAACTCCCCCCCTCCCCCACCACCAGAAGAAAGGGTGGGAAGGTGGGCGGGGCAGATCAGGTCAGGTCAGATAATGGCGGACGGCAACAAAAACCTGAAATCTGAAACACCACGTGACTTAAACCTCCACCGTACACTCGAACCCACACTCCCAGCCGTGTGTGATAAAAACCACACTTCTCTAAAAATCCGCCAAGGATGTCACAAGCTGGCCTCCAACGATTCGATAATTTAAATTCAACTTTAATGCAACCCTGCAAGCTACAAACACATTCAAGCATGAGAGTCTTACACCAATAGACAAGTACATTTCTATATTTTGTATGTTGACAATGCCACTTATTGTTCACCTGTGGTGTGATCCATCCTTGTTCAAATCCATGATCGATGATTGTGCACTCGATTTTCTTGATTGTCACCGGTTCAGCATTGATTCCTAGAACACAGGCCCCCTGTAAAAAAATTTTGAGAACTATTACTGATAAGTAAAACTGGCGTGGTCATGGGCGCGAGAAGACGACTAGCTCGGAACTATCATCCATCTCAAAAATCCGAATCTTTTGCTTACCTCGCATGGGGCAGGGCAAACACGACCGGTGAACTCCGGAAAGTTGTTTGTAAGTAGCAGTCGATCCAATGCTTCTTTCCATTTATCCTAAAAATGTTAGGAGTCCGTTTAAGTTCTAACGTTTCATTACTTAAGGTTATTCTTGAGTACTGTATTATGCATCCTCACTGTGCACAATTTCTCGCGTGATTAGCACGCACACATTAAAACATGGCGGCTTTTGCCTTGATGCTGGAGCTCCTCGGACTGGGAGAGGTAAAGATCATATTATATTTTTCTCCTAAACAAGTATGGTGACCTATCATCTTTTTCTCTTATGTTAAAATGATCGGTAACTTTTGTAAAAGATAGACTAATTCTCAATGCAGAAAAAGAAATAATTGTCGGAAGCATGTTTAAACCACGTAGTCGAATATATAATCACATTGCTATTTCAGGGAATTATTGCGCCCTTACAAGTTGCTGTCGCTTCTAAACGAGTACGCAGACTCCCGAATTTATTTCGAAATTTAAGTTTCTGTAACAGAAACAACCAATCGGAAAAAGTTTGACCAACGTCCCACTGCAGAGAGGATTGACCTTAAGATAAAGCATATAAAGTACTGTTTAGCCGTTTTTTGTTACCTGAAACACCAAGTCATTCCATCTGGGGATGATGTTTCCTAGAGGACAACCTGTGTGAGACTGGCAGAACGGTACTCCACATTCCATACATCTGTTAAAAAAAGCACGTACATAAAAAAAAACTCGGTCATGTACTGTCAAGTTTACGTTCTGTCCACTGTGTACTCTATACATTCCAGTTGTGCAATTTCGCTCAGTTATTCTCTTCCAAGGTTTTTTCATCTTTTAACATGGAGACAAGTTAGGAAAAGACCGTCAACTCCGCTGGGAAAAGCGCCTCTAAATTAGTAAAACAGCCAAGTTTGAAAGTGATGCGTTTTAAGCGAGTGAGTATATAGCTCCTTGCGGGCTTAAGTCGCGAAATTTTATAGTACGTTTGTAAATTTTCGCAACTTTAAGAGCTATATCTTCGCTCGCTTAAGACGTATCACTTTTAATCTTGGCAATTTTACTAATTTTAAGGCGCTCTTTCCAGTGTTGTAGACAGATTTTCCCTGACTGGTCCAGGACAAAAGTTGCAAAAACCGACGTGGAAGGGTCTATCACTTGCTACATTATCTATTTAACAATTAGTTCATGCGTCAGCGTGCGTATGTCGAGATATTGAGCACGCGGGAAGTTTGGAGAGCACGAAAGAGGCGTAAGAGTTGCACGAGGCGCAGCCGAGTGCAACTCTAGCCTCTTGAGTGCTCTCCAAACTGCCCGCGTGCTCAATATCTCGACATACGCACAGCTGCAGCATGAACTAATTGTTTTATAACATTATCAAAGCGATCAATGCAGCAGTTAACTTAAAATTTTTTTATTGTAGGGCGCGCTCAAAGCAGTACGCGTCAATGTTTACGTGACTATATTTTTTTTCGCTCACAGTTAATCTTATGTTTTCGTCCTGAAACTGAGAGAAAGTGTACTCTAAAATGATTGTAAAATCCATATTTAGGTGCCGGAAAACTATTAATTTACCGAAAAATTGTTATTGAGAGAAAACAACTTTGCAAAGAATGACCTCACGCCATAGCCCGCACAGCTCGCGGAGATGACAACAACAACAACAACAACACTCACCTCTTTTCCTCACTATCGGTTAACAAATTCAAACGTTTCCTCTTAAATTTCCCTATAAAACACATGGTAAACGCTTCGTTGTCTATTGCTGAGTTATGGATGCACTCAGGAGTCTAAGAATTACTAAGCTCACAACAACTCGAGGAATTACGAATAGTTTATTGACGTCATCAGCGTGCTCAATAGGAATATGAAGCACGCTCGCGCTATTGAATTTGATTAGCCGAAATTTCCTAGCTATGTTATAATTCGTCTTTACAGCGATCGCTTCCGAACAACTATTTATGCCATGTAAAGTCACAAACCTACCGTGCAGCTTGTTCTTTTAACTCTGATTTGCCTTTGTTGTAGTAAATCTCATTCCAATCCTTCATTCGTTGTTTTGCTGGACGATACTTCACTTTGCTTCTGGAGTATTTAACAAACCCTCTGCAATAAAAGAATTGAGTTACAAAAAGTCAGAGAGCTTTGGAAAAGTTAGGCCCCGCATATATGGAGAAAATTTGGCCTGGGTCAGTCACTGGCCTGGGCGAGCTAACTTTTCGCTTTGTTTACAAAACGAGGCGAAGGTTTTCAAAATAAACACAAGGTGGCTCGGCTTGAAGAGTGACCCAGGTAGCCGGGTCACCCTTTTTGATGGTAGGGTCATCCTCCTTGCTAGCCTGTCAACAGACCCTCTAGTTTCTCTTCAAAGTCCGTCGGGCGCGCGTCATAAAAAAAACTAAATTAAAATAAACCGTCTGTGTACAGGCTACCTCATTGTCAGGCCAACTCGGTGAAACCGAGACAATCTGAACAAGCGCATGCACTGTTAGCTCTGACAAAGGGGTTATTTTTTTTCTCATATAAACGCTTGCTTAGGTTGACTCGGCTGGGTGGGTGAGTCTCTTTCCCGGAACAACGTTTCCCCATATAAATGAGGCCCTTCTTATAACCGGAACCAAACGGCCATAAAAATATATTATTACACTTTACTGATGCTTTGTCTGAAATTTTTTATTAGCGATAAAACAAGCTATAAAAAAAATAATTCACTCGCTTTTTTGAAATTAAACTATTATAATTTAAGTCTCTTGTTCTTCCTTGTATCATCGATCTTCCCTATTGTCAATTAGGCCCACCGCCGACGACTCCGCTGATGTAAAATGTACAAGACAGTGAGCATGCAAAACCCGGGCGGTACTAAAACGGAGAACGGGAAGCGGGAAACGAGGAGGGGGAATCAGGAAACGGGAAAATGGAAAAAGTAAAGACCAAAACCTAACTTGAACCCTTGCCTATCAGTAACTTCATTTTTAAGTCTCTGTTTTCCCTTCTTTGTTCCCATTTGAGTGGCTTGCTTTGACAAGCCACAACAAATTAAAACCCAGAAAATTCTTTTTACCGGTGTTTCAGCAGTTTTGTGCTGATAGACATCAAGTTGAAATATTTATAGAGCGATCTGTAACTGTTTTCAAACGCACCTGGTTTTGTCCAGGACTCTGTCAATAACCTTCTGATCCATAGTTGTATCAGGAATTGCTGCTTCAATATCAACCAACCCAGAATCGGTTTGTTTTTTGACTGGCGGAGGAGAATCTTCGTGTTTCTCTCCATTCGTTTTTTCTCCGTTCGTCTTTTCTCCATTTTTCTTTTCCCCGTTTGTTTTTTCGCCATTTCCCTTCTCGCCATTTGTTTTTTCTCCATGGGTCTCACTGCTTTGGAGATCCTTCTTGAGTTTCTGGAGAGCGAAAATACAACAATAACAATACAAAAAAGATAAACAACAGCCCTAGGGCGAATGTTATATCATGGATTATCCATGGTCAAATAAGCTAAAGACTGTCGTTGTGATATGTAACCAAGATTGCGCAGTCGAGAAGCTGGCCTTTGGGCTTAACTAACTAGCAACGTGGGGCAAAATTAATTGTAGAAACTTTAATGTGTACGTCAAACGTCGGAACTAAAAATGGAAATTTGCTTTCTGCTGAGAGAATGCGGAAGTTTTCTTTTACACTGCCTTTGTCACCAATGATTAATATTAAATACTTCTCTTACATAAACGTTTTGCAATGTTCTCGTCCAAGTTACGGTATCAGAGCCTCTCAAATTAACAAAAAATACAAACAAACAGTCAACTGAAAGTATCCAAAATTTGATTAAACAATTATTTACCTCAGCCTCCTCCTCTTCTTTGAGCTGCTGAAGAGCTCGCTTGTAATCACGAGGAATAATCTGCAATAAAATAAGACAGCGCCATCAGTGACAAAACGGGAAACAGAAGTAACATACAGAACACTAGTTACAAGACAAGGACGACTACGAAGAATTAGCCTGAGAAAAAATTCAACAATTGACATTTCGCGGCGCCGTCACTAGTTTCCCGGCGAAATGACGTCTGAGGAACGACAGCAAAAATTCCAAACTGATTACACGTTACATTTTCAACCAATCCGAAGCACTACCCAGATCTGGATAGTGACGCTACTTCAGAATGGAATTTCTGCGCTCATTTTTCAGACGTCATTTCGCGGGGAAACTAGTACTGTAGTGTTGTCGCGAAATGTCAACTTTTTTCTCAGCCGGCTACGAGAACGAGAGATTGTCTCAATACTAAGTAATACACGTCATTTTGGCGGGAAAACGCGATAGCCGTCGTTAATCTACTACCGGTTGTAGCGAGAATGTCTTGGTGGCGGACACAAGTTATCAAATGTTTGAAGTCTTATCACTTTGCAATCGGAAAAGGGTTAACCTCCTTTAAAAGAAGTAACATCATCCCTGATGATGCCGTTGATCGGCGAAAGCTTGGATTTCAGATTTTACTTTTAAACAGCAGTTAAAGGCCTCACTAGAACAGTTTTATCTTTTTAATTATGCTGAAGGACAACATGAACAGATTATAGACATAACGGTGTTTTAAACTTTTCTAGTGAAGAATATTAAAATGAAGCTTTCCGGGGTGTCCTGATCTTGAGAATACGCGAAAAAAAAAAAAAAATTCGCACCTTAACAAACAACTTGACAGAGTAGTTCCAGTCCTCCAACAAACGCTCGGCAACTGGTGAACCAGTCAACTGTTGATGTTCCTGTACCAGTCCCCTGACCAGGTCCGCATCTGATCCAGTAACAGGCTCAAGGTCAACGATCTCCTGATTACAAAGCGATGAAAAGTTCTTTTTCCTGTTAATCAAACGACATAGCATTTGTCAAACGTGGTAAAATTGTACAACTCCCTAAACGCACGCTAAAACACGAACTGGTTCGAAACGAATTAAAGTCAGTAAGATTGAATGGTGAAATATCAATATGTTGGCAGATTTTATCATTTTCCTTTCTTACCTACCAATGTGTTTAAAATCTTAATATTAAGACTACACGACTATGACCCTTTAACAGGGCAAAAGTAAGTCAGTTCTCTCAATGTAATCAACCAAAGCTTGGTTTTATAACAATGATAACCATTTACAGTCTCGTTTTATTTGTTTTCTACTCTTAATTAGATTTCATTATTCTACTAGCAATCTTTTAGAATAATTTCCTTACCTGTCAAGGACATAAGCCACCCCTCCTGACATCCCAGCAGCAAAATTACGACCAGTCGAACCAAGCACAACACAAAGACCCCCAGTCATGTATTCACAGCCATGGTCACCAACACCCTACAAATAAACACACAATTCAGTCACACGCACGTTGCAATGTACAGAGGACGTCCGGACGAAGTGAATACCACAATTTAGACTCGCACATAAGGCTAATGACAAACATCAGATTCAGGTTGAAAATTTCTCAAATTAGGAAACAAGCAGATAAAAACTGTCCAAAATAATTCTTGTGAATGATCCTGACAGGAATTTACTATTTGACGTTTATATAAAATGAAGAGTAAACGACAAATAAGTATTACACAACATGGTCACGCTGTTCATATTAACGTTCGCTGTTTGCCGAAAACGTGACTCAAAATGCCTTTATTATCGCAGCTCATAATTGCAAGTAATTTTACACAATGGCTGTCTTACTGGAAGAGAGGCCATCATTTGTACGTGCCCATCCTTCAAGCCGTTCAAAGCAACCTTGTTTGAGACCCTAAGTATTGGTTTCACTCTACCACGAGCTCGCAATGCCATGGTATAAATGGCCAACAAATTAAGACAATTTTAATGCTAAAACATGCCTTACCTCGCACACTGCTGTCACTCCAGAATTTCGAACACAAAATCGCTCAGCGGCTATGCCTCTTACGAAGGCCTGTACACCAAGAAAAATTTACATCATTACGAGGGCACAGTTTAGACTCAAAAATTCACCTCAGCAACTTGAATAACTGAAATTCAAACACTTTTCAATGTAGTCTTTTTTACCTTGCCTGCAGTAGCACCGTAGAAACAAACATTTCCAACAATGATGTTCTCTTCTGCTTTAAAATCACTTGGGTGGTTGCTACTTGGATAAACAATAATCTTGCCTCCAGCTAAGCCCTGAAAGGTGAGTCATTTATACAAAACACATTTCCTCGTTAGAATTACACAATGTCTTTCTCCTATTACTGTTCTAAAACAATGCAGTTCCCGGAAAAACACATCCTTAACACACTTGGGTCATAGCTGTCCAATTTGAATTTTGACATATTGCTTTATAAAGTTTTCTGTCAGAAAAATTCAAAGGGAGGAAGTAATCTCATGTCAACAGCCGTTTAGCGTGCTTTCCACTGGTTTCCCCGCGAAATGATGTCTGAGAAACGAGCGCAGAAATTCTATACTGTTGACGTGTTACTACCCACATCGGGATAGTGCTTCTGATTGGAGGTGCGGCGAGGAAAACTTTCTTCAGCTAACCAGAAGCAGTACCCAAAATTGGGTAGAGACACGTCATCAGAATTAAATTTCTGCGCTTGTTTCTTGGTCGGCAATTCGCGGGACAACTAGTGGTGGCGCCTCGAAATGTCGGCTGTTTCCTTAAGCTAACTAAACAGGAGATGGACAAGGGATAACGATTATGCAAATCTACTTTACAAGAACAGTGTATTATATCCCGTCATTATAACCAAGTCAGAGTTCTATTTAGGATTTATCGTTTGGGGGAGAAGTCCCGAGAGGCCGAAGGCCACGCGCTTCCTAGGGGGGTCCGGGAGCATGCCCGCCCCCCAGAAATGTTTTGAAATGAATATGCGCTGGGATGCAATCTGGTGCATTTTGATACACAATTTTGAGAAATGTTATAGTGTGTGCAATGAACCCGTCGCGTCTGGATGATTTTTCCAAAAAAGTTACCTGTAAACCGTAATGATAACAATATTCTTTTGGGGTAAGCTTGGCATTTTGGGGGCGAAACCTGTACCCCTCAAATACCCTAGATAGAACCCTGCAAGTGGAGAACGGTTTGAACATTCCCAACTGGTAGGAGGGGAACTAGTTGGCTATTTACAAGCGTGGCGAGGATTTGAACTGGGGACTACCGAGAACAAATCCAGCTAGCGGTCAGGGCGAGACTTGAACTCGGGGCCTGGGTTCCCGAGTCTAGCGCTCTAACCACTCAACCACGATCACTCCAGAAGGTTTAAGTGTCGTGCTAAGCAGACTGACCCACAGCTGACATAATTAAGTTGTGTTCTGGATAATTGGATAATACCTTGCCTACGTAGTCATTTGAGTCACCTTCCAATTCAAGAGTGATACCGGGAGAAAGGAATGCACCAAAGCTCTGACCTGTCATGGGAAGAATACGTAACAATACTTAAAATGTACGTAGGTTGAATACTGTAAATGACCTAATAAACGCCCGGTGCGTCTACTTAACTTTAGGGGTCCAAGCGGCGGCATAGGGGGCGTTTAAAAGAGAGAGGCGTTTATTCTCATAACTGTAACAAGCTCAATAAAATTAATATGCTTTCAGCAAAAATATCAAGAGGGTTTAAAAACAGCGGAATATCCTCTCCACCAATTGATACGTCTTCGCCGTCTAGAGATCCATATCGCTCTTTCAAATCCCAACATCGATGTTAGAATATTCGCTGAGGGTTATTGTGTTGCCATCGTTAGTCTATCCTTACTTTGAACTCGACATTGAACAGAATGAAATACGCAAAGCCTTGTTAATCAAGCAAGAAACTGAGTGAATTGAACGATTTTGCTCTTATTTATTTATTTATTTATTTATTTATTTTTTGCTAATTCCTAGTATTTTGGAGTAATTCTCATTGGGGGTGTCTGTCAGACAAGGGGGGTTTATAGGAGAGGGGCGTCTAATACAATTTTAACAGCGTAGAAGGAGCGTTTATTCGATAAGAGGCGTTTAATGGGAGTGGGCGTTTATTAGGTCATTTACAGTATGATCATTCGGGTCGGCGAAGTCCTGAATAGCACATTTGTTCACAGTGACTAACGTTTCAACAACCTGTGCGATAGTCACCTTAGAGTCAAAGTGAGTTCATAGCATTAAACTCTAGTTATTGACTGCCTGGTCAATTAAGTCGCGATGTTATTGATCGTGGTTTACTTAGGCCATGATGTCATTGGCTTCGAAGACTTGGCACATTGGAAAAACGATATCATAGACGAAGAAGGAGACAAGTCTTTCGAGACCAAATGCCCAATTGACCACTCCAGAAAATACCATAACATACCATAATGCTCTTTGTTTGTCACCCTAACATTTTGCAAGTTAAAATGGCTCCAAGAGAAACTGAAAACAATGCTTATGCAAAATTTTGGGGTGACAAACAAAGAGCATTATGGTATGTTATGGTATTTTCTGGAGTGGTCAGTATAGTTGCGCGAGCTAAGCACTTGCCTGCAGATCCTTTAGCTTTGATGTGAATGGTTCCATCGGGAAGACCTTTCTCGCCAAATGTCCTAATGATAAGATCATTGGAAAGGTATATTATAACATTCCTAACATTTATTTGTCATTCATGTTAAGGCTTAACTGCAGTCATCTGGGGGTTTCAATCACCTAATACATCAATCAACCTGAATGGATGAATCTTCACCGCACATAATTTCCTATCATTTCACGACCAACGAACCGAAAGCTCCAAAAATAACGCTTATGATGATGAGGTGACAGAAGAAACTTTGTGTTCATTTACCTTGCAATGTGGTAACTTAGAGTGGTACCAAATGCTCGGTCAACGTTCAAAACAGGCATCTCCAAATACAAGTTCTTTATACTGCCACTGAGGATCCCTTTTGCAGCTTCGATGAGTTGGTTGTCCTATCAATATTAAACACAATACGTGAAAAACTGACTCTATAGAGCGTTTTCACATAACGTCACAACGGCCATATTGATGTTCCAAAACAATGAAACGGCGGCCATGTTGGTGTTCCAAACCAGTCCTGTGGGAGTTGAACTCTTTCCTTATGTAAAAACTTTCTTTTGTTCCAATAAATTAGTATAGATACTGACCATGTGAGTGAAACCGCTCTATAGCCGTAACACTATTACTGGATTTAAGAAACTTGACACCGGTTAAAAAAAAAAACGGTTTCACGGTATAGCGCATGCGCTGTTTTTTTCTGCCGGGACATGCTGTATCATCTATGCAAGCAATATGAACATGTCATAATGTTGTCAAAGAACCAATCTGCACATTCCCTGGCAGTCATTTGATCAAATTATGCGCAAATAGCTGTAAATTCATCAATCATGGAAGAAAACCTTCGGGTCAACAATAAATTCAAAGTGGGTAATGTTGGCATAATCCACTAATTTTTCTGCGATTTTAGTACTCCTCCATCCCACTTCAGGTTACTCTGAAATACAATTCCACTCTGAAATACACTCTGAGATCGCTGAGATACCTGTGAGTGGGATTGTTAACCGATAGAATTGATAATAAATTAGAAAAAAGTAATTTAATTAATGAGCATGCACTGAACTGTGAGCCTGTCCCTTTAAATAACGCAGATAAGCGTTTTGCGACATCTTTGTATTTGATACTCATAACTCACCTTTCTTAACTCCAGTTTGTGATTCTGCGGTTCACTTCCTCCCAGATGATCACCAGGGTTCAGTTCATTACCCGTCATCAAGATGGGACTGAAGTCCAGCAACTGATAAAAGGAAGAAAACAGACTCATTTTTATTAAGAAAAGTTTTATCAACTCTTCTCTAAATGTAGAAGAATACGACGAGCACTTGGATTAAATTTTTACACTTTGAACCACGGCAGGCGGCAAGTTAATTTGCCCTCATACACTTATTAGATGATTGAATGTGCACTCGGAACGTTGTTTAACCGGTCATTGGCCAGGAGAAATCAAAAACAAAGGTTATGCAAAGTTTTTTTTTTTGGTGGGGGGGGGGGGGGGGCGGAGGGGAAAACAAGGTGTATTGTGGGAGATGTACAAATGGCGAATTGACTTGACTGACCTTCACTTTATCATTTAGGGGGTTCGCAGGTTCCAGTAAGTCGCATCTTCCAATCATTTCATTCATTTTGCGGAAACCCATTTTAGCCATGAACTCACGAACCTAAAAAATGAAGAAGAATAAAATAAAAATCAAACTATAGAACTCCTTAGAAATACGAAGAAAAGAACACGGTCAACAAACAGCTGGTGAGGTGTATGCACAACACCTCCTTGTGATTAGTACTAGCATTGTGGCAGAGTACTTAAATAACCTAGGGTGGCTCCGATATTAATTCAGTCTCACTGGATTATGACAAACGTCTTCAGCAATGGCTACGAAACTTTGAGATGAACTACAGCCATCATTCGGCCAGATTTTACTGGTGAGAAGTATATTTTATGAAAATAGCCCTTAATTGGAAACTACGTTTCGTAATTTTGTTTGTTGATATTTTTTATATTAAAGATGAAACAACAACAACATGATATTAATTTGAGGAGGACTCGGAAAAAAAATCCGAGTCCCAGATGGGATTTGAACCCACGACCCTCCGTGATCTAGTCGGATGCTCTAACCACTTGAGCTACTGGAGACTCTGGTGAGCAAGGGCCAATTTGTGGGTCTCGACTGGAACCGCATCACGCGGCTACACAGCCAAGTAATGACTGGCACACAAGAACTCACTAACAGCATCGCGCTGTCACCTTAAAGCATATATTTGATATTAATTTGAGGAGGACTCGGAAAAAAAAATTTGAGGAGGACTCGGAAAAAAAAAATATCATGTTGTTGTTGTTTCATCTTTAATATACTCAATTTGGAGGTTGGTTGGCCGCATCTTGGATATGCTTTAAGGTGACAGCGCGATGCTGTCAGTGAGTTCTTGTGTGCCAGTCATTACTTGGCTGTGTAGCCGCGTGATGCGGTTCCAGTCGAGACCCACAAATTGGCCCTTGCTCACCATAGAGTCTCCAGTAGCTCAAGTGGTTAGAGCATCCGACTAGATCACGGAGGGTCGTGGGTTCAAATCCCATCTGGGACTCGGATTTTTTTTCCGAGTACTCCTCAAATTAATATCATGTTGTTGTTGTTTCATCTTTAATATACTCACTTTGGAGGTTGGTTGGCCGCATCTTGGATATGCTTCAAGGTGACAGCGCGATGCTGTTAGTGAGTTCTTGTGTGCCAGTCATTACTTGGCTGTGTGGCCGCGTGATGCGGTTCCAGTCGAGACCCACAAATTGGCCCTTGCTCACCATAGAGCCTCCAGTAGCTCAAGTGGTTAGAGCATCCGACTAGATCACGGAGGGTCGTGGGTTCAAATCCCATCTGGAACTCGGATTTTTTTTCCGAGTCCTCCTCTAATTAATATCATGTTGATATTTTTTACTGAAATAATCAAAACTAAAAAAGTTATGACAAAGAGTTCGTCCTAGTTCAATGGGCCTGTATTAATACTGGAGCCATCTTAAAACTCAGAGAATTTTATAAAAACATAAATGTGTCTATGTTCCTTCCATAAGTGAAAAATCTTTCTGACTCACACATCACTGACCATAAAAAACCAAGGAAAGTTCCTTTAACGCACTAACTGTAGGTCGTCCCAAAAAGTTGTAACAAACGTTTTGTAGGAATGGCTACAAGTTAATGAAGGAAGATATGTTCTAAGGCTCTTACCTCTTCTGCTAACATGAAAAAGAAGTTGATGACATGCTCTGGTTTACCAGCAAACTTCTTTCTGAGCACTGGATCCTGCGAAGGAAGTACAACACAATAATTTAATAATAAATTTTGCATTATGCGTACGGGATTTCCTTACTTACCCAACGCCTATAACAAGGCGAATATTACATGTCTATCAGAAAAGACTTTGCCTAAGCTATCCAATCTTATCACCAAATGTCAGACTCGTTAAAGAACAGCAGTTAAAATTTGCCTACTAAAGATTCGAGGACGAGATTTAACTTTAAGTTTTTTCTGGCGTATTCCCAAAAAATAGAAACCCTGGAAAGTTTCATTTTACTGTTTCACCACAAAAGTGACACTGGTTTTGTTTTTATTGAAGGAGGTTAAGCCCTCTCCGGATTGCAAAATGGTAACACTTCTAAAACTTGATAACTTGTTCCCATCTCTAAAATCCGTAGTGGAATGGCGACGGCAACCTTTGACGATGGCTATCGCGTTTTCCCGCCAAAATGACGCTGCAGCTGGTTCACACGCGTACCACTCAGTATTTAGAAAATCTCGTTCTCGAAGTCGTACTCGTCTTATGAATCAAAAGGCGTCTATTACCTGTGTGGCTATTCCAACAGGACATGTATTCAGGTGACATTTTCTCATCATAGTACATCCCAAGGCAATAAGAGGAGCAGTAGAGAATCCAAACTCGTCGGCACCCAAGAGAGCTCCGATCACAACATCACGTCCTGTGCGTATTTGTCCATCAACTTGCAGGACAATTCTTCGGCGAAGATTGTTTAGTACAAGAGTTTGATGGGTCTCTGCAATCCCAAGTTCCCATGGTAATCCAGCATGTTTAATTCCTGACCATGTGCTTGCTCCTGTTCCACCGTCGTGACCAGAAATTGTGATGTGCTCAGAGTGACCCTTTGTGAAAGAAGAGTAAATAAGAGAGATATATTTTAATTTAATTTAATTTTAGTCTCTAACAATACCTGAACAACAGAATTTACATTAAATAACTTTAAAATTACATATTATTACAATAAATTACAGTCCTGCTACAAAAAATACAACTACAATAAAAAATAAGTCTACTTTTTAGTATAATATTACTACAGTATTTGAATTGGTCTTGTCAATTAGAGGTTTCCATTTATTCTAGTAGTATTCGGGTGATTTAGAATTTATTGATGTTTGTTTTTCCATCTCAGCACTACAGTTTTAGAGGCTCTTCCGTTATACTGTAGCTACTGAAGCTATGTGGCTGGGAAAATGGTAAATTAAATATGTTATCAAGAAATTTTAAATGCTTACCGCCATGCAGTTCAAACAAATACGACTATTTTAACAAACAAGCTCAACCGCAATGAAACCGGCTAAACCACCCATCTGGAATCCAAACTGATCCTAATCTTCAGGCTGCTATTACACATGCTTGACACGTATGTAGTCAGCATTCGTTAAATCAGGTTTGTCACTAAGATTTCAAGTTGCCGGGTACATACAACAAGTAGGTGGGGAATCAAACGGCAACGGATTTCTTTTGGTTCTATTTTTCTTCTATTTCCCTTTGAAAGTAGCCGAGGGCCACACTCATAGTAGCCGGGGGAAATCCCCGGCCCCCGCCTCTTAAAGGCAGCCCTGCCGTTTAGACTTTCACGTCATAACCTTCCCGTGAAACGTACGCAAAGCACCAGAATTGGCGCAGGAGCGTTTTGACCTTCAATCAGAAGCCGGCACACGTGCAGGCACTCCCTAACCTTTGGTTATTACTACAAGTACGAATATAATATTCACATGGCCTACCTTTGCAACTCCAGCAGCGATCACCCCTACTCCCACCTCAGACACCAGCTTCACACTAATACGGGCTTCAGGGTTTGAACATTTCAGGTTGTAAATGAGCTAAAATAATGAGAATAAAAACTGAGTATAAACTATCTGGGAACACCAAAGGCCGCTTTGCACTTCAGCAACAATTTCTGGGACGCGTCAACACTGGATTTCGCTCGGATTATGACGGATTGCTTAAAAATGTTCGGCACGCGGGGGAGGGGGAGACATGTCTTTAGGTCTTTCGCTCAGCTTTTTTAGCCCATCATTAACTCATAGTCTCGATAAGCAGCCGCCGTTGGGGGAATAAGCCCGAGAATGACAAAAGCGGGGAAATCACGCCTATAAACCGACTTTAACTCTCTGCAAACTTTTCCTGCCTTCAAGGACAAATATGGTTGTAACACAAGCAGAAAATTAAGGAACACGCTTCTCTGCTCGAAATACACAACGCTGTGTTTCAACTTAAATAAAAACAGAACTAGAATTCAAATCTAAAGTACCTCAGCCAAGTCTTCAATGGAATAGATATCGTGATGAGGAGGCGGACTAATTAGACCCACACCAGGAACAGACTTGCGAGTCTTCGCAATTTGTTTGGAAACCTGTTAAGAAGAATAGTATATACAACAGCAATTAGCCGAACACAAAAAACACTAGAACATTAAAACTTTTCAGAGACCTCAAAAAAAGCAATCCATAAAATTGTTCCGTTTGTTATCGAGATTGATCTACCGACCACCGCTAGTATCCTTAAAAATATATCCAGGAAATTACAAAAGGACTCCTTTAAGTCATTTCCTATGTTCATTATTGACAACACACAGACACAAGACAAGCTGTAAATGGTCCTACACAAAGATGAACTTAAGTCTTCGGTTGGTTGCTGTTTGGTGTCTTGATGTTAAACACAAATGCCGCAAAGCATATACGTTACACTACGAGAGTGGGGGAACAGACCAACCTCTCAAAATCTCTGTGCATATCTAAGCCCAAAACCGATTACGATAAACCCGAGGAACAAGACTTAAAAAAAGAACTATCACACCTGCCAACCTAGTTATCAGATACCACATAACAGAAAATAAAATAATATAAATGTAAGGGAATTGTGTCACCCAAAAACAAAACAAAAAGCGCGATGAGTATGACTACAATACAGTCCAAGAATCTGTAGCCGCTGTTTAAGGATAAGTGAGCAGGAAGTCATTACATATTTACCTTGTATCCGGGTAACTCTCCGCCTTCCCCAGGCTTGGCTCCCTAGGAAATCATGTGAGAAATTTGCCTTGCTTAGTTACATCATGGTAGCCGCATTTGTCAAAAGGACACGTCCTAAATTTCGTGTGACATTAATTTTGAAATCGCGGCTTCTCAAGCCCTTATTTACCTGCGCCATTTTGATCTGCAAGTCTTCAGCCATTGCTAAGTACCATGCATTCACACCGAACCTTCCAGAAGCCACTTGTCTGATAGCTGACCTGTTTTCTGGGTCACTTCCTCTTATAGGATCCTCGCCACCTTCACCTGTGTTGCTTTTGCCGCCCATTCTAAAAAAGGTACCCGTTAAAATGTTAACATTTCTGATTTCACTTGGGGAGTTAAGGGCCCACAGTCAAAGTAAACGCTAGGTAAAACTTAGCGGGCCTCCAAACACATTTGAAGTACAGAAAGAACGTTCGAGCCAGTCCTACTTCACATGACGCATCGCTTGAAGAACGGACTGGCTGCTTCATTGCCCGACCGTTATCCGCCGTAGGTCAAACCGTGCGGCCAAAACGCCATATTTTGAAAATAATTATAATAAAAAAATTCGAGAGTTTCCGCTAAATGCGTACATTGCTATTAAATTAACAGTTCTGATTAATCATGAAATTCTTTTGCCGGCTGGACTGGTCTGGGCGGTCACTGAGTTCTAATAAATGGTAGCGCCCTAAAGCCTGGTTTCCATATGATCGCTACGATCGCTGTCATCGCTGAGAGAAAAAAAGTTCAGGGACCTCAGCGATCACAGCGATTATATGGTTTCCATATGATCGCTGTGATTGCTGCGATAGCTGAACTTTTTTTCACAGCAATCGCAGCGATCATATGGAAACCAGGCGTAAGCAGCCATGATGGATTTGGCTAATAAGTTTATTTACCTAAATACGTCTTTGGGAAATGTTTTGGCCATCCCCCCGCTCGATTACAATGTAAAATTTTCTATTGTAACGTGGATAGAAAACGTCAACACAAGACCTTACCACGTTTTTTTTTCTTTCTTTCTTTTTTTTTTGAACTTGGAAACACCCCTTAACAATTCATGTACACAGAGATTACACCTACTTTGACAACTTAGGCAATCTGGAACAACCCTTAACAAGGAATTTCACATCTTCGTTACCGTCTCTGAAGTGGTTGCTTAAATTTCCTTCTTGCCGGTTCACTCTTCAGCAACAAAAACACTGTACACAATTTTCAGTTCCTTGAACTCACCAGTCCTCTTAAACGAGATTGACTTTCAGGTTAAAAATGAAACGGCAGTACACCTACTCACTTGTTCATGGCTTTGGCAAGTGTCGTATGGGTTTCGTATGAAATGGATCCAAAACTCATGGCACCTAATAAGATTAACATACGTAAATTACTATCAAAATTTGAATTCTCATTTGTTGCCCGTATTCATTTCCTACAGAAGTAGTGGGGAGAAGTTGATAAAATATCAAGAAAATTCATCTTGTGTGATCATGTCCGTAATTCTCATGACCACTCTGTTTTACAAAGCATTGGTATGTCAAAGAGAAACTTGATGCTGATCACTCTTAGGGCTTCTCTCCCTGAAAAGGGGTTTACGCGCTTGTGTCTCCCCATCTTGACCAGACCATCTGGAACCCCATTTTAGTTTTTTTCTTTGATTACTTTCATTCGAAAGATTTGGCTTTTGCGACTACAAATCATCGTCCCTTTGAGTTCCCACTAACCTCACGGGGGAAGAAAATAATATTTTCTGGAACTGTACTTTCTCTCTCCGTGTATAACATTCAAATACTTAGTCCCTATTTTATGGAGGACACAATCACAGCTCATTTCGTATCACAATGATTCTCTGGCCTAGTGGAATCCTGTCAGACATAGCTCTAGTGGTAGACAACCACAATATTGTTCTCTGGGCTTTTTAGGAGCAGCTGAAAGTGGCCCATAAAAACTTACCCTTGCCTGGGCGAATCTTCCTGATTGTTAAGAGCTTAATTAGAGCACCGCCCTGCTATCAGTGTATTTTATAAAATGAACGTTTTTGTCATCGTTATTACAAAACAAGAATAAAATAGTATTCTATTTTTAAGTGTATTTTAAACAGAAAGGCATACCTGTGGCAAACCTCTTAACAATTTCTGCTGCCGGTTCAACTTCTGAAATATCTAAGGGCTTCTTTGCAAATTTAATTTGAAGCTGACCTCGTAGGGTACAGGATCGAACCTAAAAAAGTTTATTTGCATCATTATTAAACTATCGGCCAAATAATCATCATCTGTCACGGATAATTCAGAAACGTCTCCATCAATAAATATATTTGCAAATGAAAAGTTCTCTCATTCCGTCACAGATAGTCTAGATTTTCATCGCTTTTTCAGTCCTCCGCGAGAAGAGACTTTCGGGATGAAGCGCGGGCTAATTTCCCGAACAGCGACTGGTACTCGAGCCTACAACACTAAAGGTTGAAGCAGTACTTACCACTTCAATGGAGGTTTCGCTGTACTTCTGGTAAGCAGGTTGGCTCTTCATTCGAACTGCATCCTGCCATGGGAAAGAAATTGTAATTTAAAACTTACACATTAGTGAAGAAACAGCAAAATGGCTGCCATATCAACTAAAAAGACTACTCAGCCAAAAAGACTACTTTGCCCCGGGGTCTTACCCTTACCCTTTTATATACAATTTTTGACAGTCAAGAAACCCCTTTCGTCTACCTTCTATTGACAAAAGAAAACCCCTTTACACACCAAGTTTAGGACTTTGAATCCCTTTTGTTGAACTGCTGTAAATGCACTGTGTTACATAGATGAACAAAAGGACAGAATGTATGGCGGAAAGGTTTACATCGTGGCTTGGCTGTTATAAGTTGAACAAAGGGGATAGGCAACTCAGTCAGTACCCGAACAAGCTTGGTAAATAACAGATTGGCGGTATGGCTAAAAAGGGAACTTTTCTGGCCAGGCGGAACAAAACGCGGGAAATTCCGAGCGGCTAAGATGGGCCCCTCTCACCCGTTCAGGTAGCCAATTAGAACACTGAGTTAGCATTCGCCTCAACAGTCACTCATATAATAAATCATTCCATAAACTGACCTGCAAGTTTGCAATGCATCTTGGATCGTTGATATGTTTCTCTCCACCTTCTCTCCAGTGATATTCACCCTAAATAAAACATTGTTACTCGATACTGAACTGGATCATTTTAATTTGCATCAAAAAGTAATTACCTCTTGTAAAATATCTTATTACTACGCCCGTCCGGACTTTTCAGGGATCAGGGATACGTTACAACACTGGTTGGGAACTTCAGGTTTTGATCATGAAAAGTGTCGACTAGCCTGTACACAGACGTTGTTTTATTTTTCTTTTCGTTCTTTCCAAAGACATCTACGAGCCTGCGAGCGAAGCGAGCGCGCGAGAAAGAAAAACAAAGAACGTCTAAAGACATCTTTGGAAGAAATGAGGTTTATTAAGTTTCTTCTGCCCCCACCACTACCCCCTTGCGCTCAGCTGGCGGTCAATAAATCCCCTGCGGTTTATATTTTATCACCCGCGCTCGACGGACTTTGAAGAGAAAATAGAGGGTCTGTGTCGACCAATTTTATCCGCTTTATTTTTTTACTTGTTTCTGACTAGAGTTAGTTATTTCTTTGGTGCTGCGAACTTGAAATGTCACAACAAACAATGCAAAATCCAAAGTTGAACTGCTGCATTAGCTCATACAAAATGAGCTGTTTTAATACAATGAATATACATACCTTGTTGTTCACCAGAACATTGTCACAGTCACGCGTTGAAAATGCGATACCATGTTTTTTCAGGGCCTAAAAGAAGAAGTTAAGAGAACAGTCATGGTTACCCTCACTCGCGGGTACACTGATCATGGTGTGCTACTTACAGTCAAATTCAAGTTTGTTTACCGTGGTAACTGCCGCGTTTAGTGCGTCTTTTACGCGGGAAATTTTACAGAAGGTCATTAGCGGTTTTATCGAGCTCAAGGATATGAGACAACCATCTTGATAGCTGTCACGGTTGACTTCTTTAAATTAACTGATGATTCCATGATTGAATCCCAATTTAAAAAAAACACTCGGCCAAAAGCGGACTAGATAGCACCAGATAATACATGAGCGGGAAATCTGTGTAGCTGTTTTCAATGGCAGGCCTGGCCTATAGCTAAGGCAAGCCAGTGTAAACTGCAGATAAAACATTTCTTTTTATTCCTGAGGTAAAATGCCTTATCACGGGGGAAAAAAGGTTCAGTATAAACGCTGCTAAGCTGGGGAGGACAGCGCGTTGGATCCCGGGAAGATGGGGGGCGGGAAGGGTAGGCGGAAGAGGAAAGAACGGAAGGTGACGGTTCTAAAAGGGTGTGAAGCGGTAGAAATAGGGGCAGGGGGGAGGGGGGTTACGCGACAAAGCTCAATATTTCGCAATCGACAGAAGGGTTAAAGTGAGGAAGACAAGAAAAAAGGGGCGGAAGCCGGGAATGCAAGGTACGGGAAGCGCAGGGTTTGAACCCCCATGCCCCCCCTACCTTCCACAACGATAGTAGACGGGTACTTTAGCTCTGCATACAGTAATTAAATACCTCTTCTGCGAGGATCTCAAATGTCACTCCGCTCAGACGAGAGGCGGTTCCAACAAAGCACTTCTCAATAACCTTAAGTGGAAAAATAGTGGCGTTAGTGTTCTCGATTAGAAGTGAGGTTAGCCGGTGATGAAATACAAACTTTTTTTTACATATGTACTCACCTCTTCTGCCAGTCCAACAGCCTCAAATATCTGAGCTCCCTGTTTATGAGAATAATGATAAAATCATAGATAAATCATCTATATAAAGTTAATAACAGCTGCTCAATATTTCAAGGGAGCAAGGGTGGCGTAGTGGTGAAAGCACTCGCGTCCCACCAATGTGGCCTGGGTTCAACTCTTGGCGTTGACGCCATATGCGGGTTGAATTTGTTGATGGTTCTCTCCCTTTCTCCGAGAGGTTTTATTTTATTTTTATTTTATTTTATTTTATTTTATTTGCCACACTAATTACAAAAAATATAGGAAAAGAAGAAGAAGAAAAAAAAAAGAAGTGGCGAGGAGACCTAACAGAAACTATAGGAGCTTATGAGAGGTTAGGCCTCCTCGAACTATGAGCTAGAGCTGTTTCACATCAATTGAAGAGAAGAAGGCGAAAAGTCGAAGATGGAAAGATTTATAAACTGTTTTCATACTTACTCAATAATTTAATCTTCAGTTTTTTCTTAAAAGGGGAGAGGGATTGAGAGTTGATGATCTTGTTGTCAAGTGAATTTTTTTTGAATTTTTTGAATTTTTTGTCAAGTGAATTGTTTTTCTCCGGGTCAGGCTCCGGTTTTCCCCTCTCCTTAAAAACCAACACTTCCAAATGCCAAATCGATCTGGAACGCACGGACACGTTTAAACGAGTTCAAATGAACTACTAAGTGCTTCGTGGGTAAAAAAGCAATTTACATTTACAATCCGTTGTCTCCTAGCACATCCAAAAAAAAAACCCAGCACAATTGGCCTGTTTTGAACAAACTCAGTGAGCTGAAATAATGGCAATGGAGATTACAGGAAAGCCAACGGAGTTTGCAAGACATGTTTTTGCTGCCGTAGCCGTCGCCCTTGATTTTCTTTTCCTCCCTAACATAAATACTTGCCTTGTAACTGTGAAGGGTTGATATCCCCATCTTGGCCATGACTTTGGCAATGCCCTTCTTTACAGCAAAAGTGTAGTTCCCAACTATTTCTTCATCTGAGAGAGGGGGATCTAACAACCCTAAAAAGACGAATTAGAAAGTTTTAAAATTGTATTTGCAAGCTATTCAATATCAATTGACATAGAATGTAATCAGCAATGAACAGTAGGTGGAAAGTGATCAATCACTTACCCTGTTGCCTCTGGTTTGAAACAGTCTCAAAAACCAAATATGGGCAAATGGCATCTGCTCCATAACCAAGCAACACACAAAAATGATGAATTTCTCTGGAAAACAATTGTAGTACAAATAAAACACCCATTATTGTATGAACACATCACTAACTAAAGTCATTTAGCGTTCTGTCAGACTTGATCACAATCATTCCAACTCACTCAACTTATACTTAACTGTCGCATTAGGAATGTGAATGTATTTCGATCTGCCTTTTTATTTCAAGTTTAATCTTTGTCATGTGTAAGAAAAAAAAGATCCTTCGCGATCTATTAAAACGCGCTCTTGATTGATCTAAACGCGTTTAACTGTGCGCATAGTGAAGCAATTACTGATTTTGACTTTCGCACGATAGCAAAAATTAACAAGGCCGGGTCAATGCGGATGCGTGATCTGCCGTAGCCGAACGCAAACTTCGGCCAAGACAATTGGCCATTTAAGAGTTGCCTCAAGCTTCTGCTTCAAAGTGAGGCTAAGTACGACTCCATTGATAGGAACAACTTCAATTTTCTATTAGTGTTGAAAAAATTCTCAGGTAAATAAAACAAATTTTCAGAAAATTCTCAGGTAAATTTTTGGAAAACAAATTTTCCAATAACTGTAATTATTATTCATTCAAAGGGAAACTCCGGATAAAATGATAATTTTCATACCAGCTCGTTTTAAAATTTGAGAGTTTTATGGAAAAATGACTCTACAATCTCACTATGTTGTTTTTCTGGTAGTGAGTACAAAATGACGGAACATTTCACTCGTTTTGCGTGGAAGAAATAGGCGAACAATTGGCTACAAACATAGCAAGAACAGCAAGAATACAACTCGACGGACGACATCTGATGTTTGGAGAATGTTTGGAGAATATTTGCACAATATTTAAACATCCCTTTCTCTCTTAAACTTGCCCATAAACAGAAAGGCAATTGAAGATGAACTTAACATCCAAGTAAGCACGTTTTAGCTTGTTTTGTAATATAGGAATTATTTTGAATGAATAATAAGATAATTATTGAATTCGGCTTTTGTATCATCTGAAGAATTATGGCGATCGAGGACGGTCTCGACTTCGGCGGATAACACCCTCCTCAGCCACGTCCAATAATTGCTAATTATTCAGACAATGTTTAAGTTCGTACCTCACTTCAGCTGACTCAATGATTATTCCAACCTGCGATCGTTGTTTCATTCTAATCAGGTGATGGTGGACGGCACCTAATGACAGCAGTGAGCTGGGAAAAGTGAAAAAATATTTTAAAAATCAGTGCCGAATTTTGATTGCTGTGCAAGCTTCATTAGCCACTGTCGTTTGAGAACTCTATTTAATATTTGACGCAAAATTTTCGTTAAACGCTCCATCTGGTTTATAATTATTATTTTATAAATTCATAGTTTCCAGCTTTTATTCTTCGTCACTGGTAGACTGCAAAACAGTCGGTTACCCAAAAATACGGACTTCTTTGCAGTCTACGTCACTGCTCGTTCTGTTGTTAATGTTGCGTAGCTGGCGGGATTTATCACGCGCGATTGTTAACACAGCAAAGGTTTATTTCCGGCATGGCTTTTAGCATTTAAGAAGTCATTGCGTCGCTATCCGCGTAGATGGCTTGGCAAGCAAACTAACGGCTTTTCTGAGGCTTTCCCGCTCCGCACTAGACCAGGCGTCTTCGCCGCCAAGAGCCAAGAGCCAGATGTCTGTTAGTCAATAGGATTTATATCATTTTAGTGAGCAATTGACATGTTGGAACAAAGCTGATGTTACCCACAATGTAATACCTCATAGGAACGTGTTTTGGTCCAGCCTTTCTGTCAGTTAACACTATAAATGCACATCCATTCTCTACAGCTTTCGAAGCCTACAAGAACAAAGAGAAATCTTTTAAGATTAAAATATCCAATATAACCAATGATTTCGCCAACAGCTTGGCGTGTTGCAGGTCATTAACGGCCAGTTTACATGGGGGTGGGGGACCCCAGGTAGGTGTGGTAACCCGCTTACGTGGGATAACCCGGCGCATGTGCATCTCTTATTTTAATTTGACCACGTTTACATGATAGCCGGGTTGGGTGACCCGCCACGTGTTACCTCACCTATTTGGGGTCCCCCGCCACCATGTAAACAGCCCCTAAATTGACCAACGAACAACTAGAGATATTTGATGATTCCACTTACTTCTTTGCAAACCCTGTCAAGTGCAGGAACAAGCCCGTTGACTCCATCTTCAATTGGATATACAATGTCAATCGTCTGAGACTGAAAACAGCATATGGTGTTAGAATGCACGGGCAAATGGCATTGTACTGTTATTTTGTGGGCGATCCCGCACCTCTTTTAAAAAATTGGTTTTGATTAGCGGGGAAAACAATAGGGATTGTCACATAACAATGCCTCTATTCTTGAAAACAATGGAAGTGCAGATTAAAGGAGACCAGTGAAATAAGAGGTTTAGAACGGTGCAGGTCTACTCTAGGCTATTTGGTCGCTATTTATCAGCGGCTCTCTCTTTCAGTTTTATGTTTATGGTTCAATACTGGTTTAAATAAGCATTTCAACAGCGCAAATACACCTTAAAGGCGGATGTCATACAAGCTATCCCAAAACTATCCCTTACTAGTGGTAGTTTTATGTATTGCAATGTGATGCAGACTGAGGTTCTTTAATGAAGTCTGGAAGGAAACTAATCGAAATATCCAATGGTTATTATTTGAAAGAAGGAGAATTCTTATACCAGAAAGTTCAGAAAAAAAATTCCGAGCTGCAGGTGAGAATCGAACTCACGACCCTCCAAGTTTTAGTTCGGATGCTCTAACTAACTGACCTACCAGGGCTCTATAGCGAGCAGGGTCGGAATTTAATTATAATTACACCAGCCAGAGAGGAGGACTGTATCGGGGACTTGCTCGAAATCGGCCCTCCACCAGTGTACAAGACCAAGATTTAACAATATAATTATGTTATGTAATGTTATTATTATGTTAGAGAAGGATATTACTCCTAAGTTTAGTTAACATAAAACTAAACCTACTTTGCACCATGACAGACCACACCCTTTAACGGCCTCCACATCTGCGCAAGACAGGATTGGATGGTCTAAGTACACACGATGACTATCGGCCACATCAGGCTCAAGAAGATTCGGTTCTGGCCCAACAGGACATGCCTTGAAGGACAAAAACAAACAGGAGTGTTAATGAACCCGTTACGATGAAAAGAAATACACTGAAATACGAAAAACAACGAAAATAACAAAGCTGTTGTCATACCAGTGACATGACAATTTTCTCGCGGATTGGATCTATTGGAGGGTTTGTAACCTGTTGGCCGGAAAGAAAAGACATTTTGTTATAAGAGAGTTAGACTGTTTATGGTCCCCTGTTTTTTGGTAAGATCGTCGGGATTGAGCACCTACCCTTACGAGCAGCCATCTTAGGTTCAAATGTACCGAGACAAGCCTGGGATGACTAATAAATCTACTTAGGGGGTGGGGGATGATAACCTCAGGGCCAGCCCTCTCAGATGGCCGCCCGTGACAGAAACGCTTGATCTCGATGATCTTACGAAAAAAAAACACTCGACTCCCAACAGTAATGACAATACCCTACAAGCGAAACATCCAAGAACACTTGCTACCCGCTCCTTCCTTTGTTGGTAGCTCAAATTACCTCTGTACCCTATTTAGCTCTATTTACCCAAATCTTGTTTTCATTACTGTGAGCTTAAACTTCCAGACAAGTCGAAGGTCCTATTCAAAATTGAGAAAGATGTTTCCCTTTTTTTTTTTATAAAATCAAATTTACTGAACATGAGACGACCACAATATGAAAATTTACCTAAGGTACGTTGAGCACTTACAGTTAACACAGCGAAGACATGTATTACTCTATTCGTTATTGCTGTTGATTCATACCTGTGCAAACAATTGTTTGAAATAGTCGAACACAAGCTGAGGATGCATAGTAAGACAGGACAGTGGTGCATCATTCCCCATGGAGCCAAGAGCTTCCTTCCTAAGTAACACAAAAGGTATACATGTTGACGCAGTTTGCACTGTAAAGAATTTACTTTTGGCCATGAGCTTCATCGACAGTGTATTTTACAAAGAAATTGGAGGCGTTCTGGGCCATCAGCGCGTTTTACTAATGCAGGCGAATTTGATTGACTGTGTCAGCCATATGTTCTTCAAATCGGACAAATAATTCGTTTTAAGATGGATTCAGTTTGGTGTCAAAACCCACATTTTTATCCTGCTAGAATCTATCCTTGAATTCACCCTTATTATGGCTACAACAGCTTTAAAAGTGTAGGCCTACAGCTGTACGTGGAGTTTTTACATAACTGTCTATCCGGGATCGATTCACGAGCTTTAGCGCTTTTCTTCCCTTTTTCTGGTGTTGAAGTTCGTGGTTGTTTTTTTCTTTTTTTACTGCAATATTCTACAAAAATAAAGCAGTAGCCACACGCAGTCGTACACTGCCCTTTTTGTATTAGAGTGATCCTATTTTGATTTCATCTCCTCGTTGACAACGTTTAGAAAATTAACTTACTTGTTCTTTACCATCGGCAAAATAAGTATATTCAGATCCTCTAGAGAATATCCAAACATTGGCAGCCGTCTGTCTCTATGTAACAGTTCATTCTGAGCCGGGTGTTGGATTAGAGGTAATGCACCATCAGAAAGGTTCTTCGAGGCTTTAAATGATTGGTGAATATCAGCCAGTGTTTTGACACCCTGTCTAAGTAGCTCATTACAGGGTCGCAGGCTAATCATGCCACTCTTAACTTCATGGTCTTCAACAATGGAACCCCTCGTCGTGTCCACTAGAAGCATTCTGCCTGGCCGCAAACGACCCTGTCAAGTTGAGAATAGCAGAAGTTAATTACATACCACGGGTAATAGAATTTTATGGTAATCATAATATGTGTTGTACAGTAAAACCCCGCAACTATGACCTGGATTTTAAGAACCTGTTGGGATAAAATTTGGCAGTCAAGCCCCCTCTGTATGAGAACATGTTTAGCCTAAAATTTGAAACCGGTTCTTATTTTCTAAAATCTATGAAAAAATTGTGTACACTCAGCCAAATAAGATAAGTCAACATTAGTCAGGTGCTGAAGTAGTCTCCTTGTCAGCCGCTCGGCCCGGAGTCACGCAAAGTGGGGGCGGGGAGCATTGCGTGACTCCGGTTCGAGCGACTGCGAAGAAGACCAGTGCTGAAGATGGAGGATTGGTGTCAGCTGCAAGTAACTGTTACTCAGGATCCTCTCTTGTTGGGAACTAACGACCCGAAAACGGTGATGCCAATGAAAATGTCGCCAAAAAAATTACCCTGTACGCAGACGTTTTTTTCCTTTTCGACGAGCACGCGAGCGAAGAGAGCACGGAACAAGAGAGCGAGGGCGATGCGAAAGAAGGAAAAAAAGAATGTTTTTTTCTTCATTACCACCCGCTTGCGCTAGCGGTCATCAAATCCTTCGCGGTTTTTATTTTCATCCGCCCGCTCGACGATCTCTTATAGAGGGTCTGTGAACAGGCTATGAAAAAATGGACTTTGCATCCATTCAAACTTTCCAAGTCAGGCCGTTAATGTACTCAAAAGAAGAGAACTAGGTTAGAGCTGAAGAGAGGGGCCTACGTCCGAGTTCAGACAGATTGTTCTCGTTCTTAAGAAAACGTAAAATTTGGTCACTTCACGTCGCACGTAGTTCTGTAGAAATGGCTATGAAATTTACAATAAAACGTGACCCACGTGCAGAGATCTGTTTTACACGTTCCTGTCGCAGTTCTGTGAGGTCCCCTTATTAACCAGGGTCAATTCAACAAAACTTTAAACCGGAAATTTAAAGGGGCTGTGTCACGGCAGTCCAGTTCATTTTGTTTAATTTTGCCAATTACTCGCCTTCACTCGCTATGTAAGTTAAAGTAAGCAAAGAAATTACACGTAAATGACAAAATCAGAGACCCTAGACAAACAAATATGCCTCCTGAGCATTATTTTTGAAGTTGCAAACAGCAGGGATCAACTTTGAAAAACTGTTTGGCTGAACAGTTTTCAAAAATCCTAATTTCAATCCGTTTTAATCTTCTTCAGTTTTGCCCATCCGTGACATCTGTTGTTCCTGTTATGTTATTTTAACCTTCCTTTAGAGTGTTAAGCAGTTATTTCTCTGTTTCTCTTCATTTGACAGGCATTTTGTAATTTCCTAATTTGGCTGAGTTTCGTGACACAGCTCCTTTAAAACTGTAGCTATCGCTTTCAAAACCCTTACTTTAACAATAAGCGAATTGACCCCAATTAAACCGGATTTTTGCTTGACGAGAGAGAGAGAGAGAGAAACCAGACAGTAAAGTGGAAACCCAGTCTGAATCAAATTCAATAACTTCTAATTACTATTTACCTTTTGTACAATTTCTTCATCGGGAAAAGTGCTGACTCCCACCTCACTTGCCGTCACCATGTACCCCTGTTTTGTCACATAGTATCGTGATGGGCGCAGACCATTTCTGTCAAGTATGGCTCCAATATATCTCCCATCAGAGAACGTGAACAAAGCTGTTAATGAGCGTTTTAAATAAATAGTCAAGATTATTTGGTTAAACGCATTTTTAAAACTAAGCTTTACACAGTGACCTATAGATGTTACGATAACGGCAAATCTCACAACAAGCACTCCGGCACGGCAACAGAACAAAGGGAAGTTGACCAAGGCGGAAGTGATTAGCCGTATACGTTACACCCGTAAAAACCAACACTTTACTTCTGGCAGAGTAAGTGTCTCCTGCGCTGTTGTGAGTTGTTGTTTTTCTGTGAACTTAATTACTATGTCACTATGAGTTCGTAACGTTTTGTTGCGGGTTTCACTGTACTACCAGCAGTTATGTTGTGTTGCCAAGAATTTTTGTTGTCTGCCGTGCATTTTGCTGATAGCTTGTTGAGAGTTTCGTTGTTGTACCCCAAGTCCCATTGCTTTATCGTGAGGCTTGTGTTCTGTTCTTTTGCCGCGAGATTTGGTTTTGCAGCTATAATCTGGTCACTGTAACCATGGCAATGTACAACAGAGAACAATCTCGCTGGCTGGGATGAGAACTGGACGAATTTTAAGAGAATAGGCGGACTGCAAGCGGTCTAGGTAAGCCTTAAATTGCTGATCAAGACGATACATACCAGGTCCATCCCAAGGCTCCATTGAACAAGAGATCCATCGGTAAAAATCCTGCTTATCTTGGCTCATAAGGCTGTTGTCCTGCCAGGCCTCAGGTACCATCGTCATAATGGCCTGTATATGTTTCAAAATCAATATTAATTCATTTTGTAAACAGACTGACCTAGGGTTTTGGTGAAATAACCTTGAACACCAAATACATGTATGTAAAACATTGTAAAACATTGATGTAAAACGTAAGTTGTTTTAAGCTAAGCCGTTTTCTGACCAAAAAGAACAAAAACTGCCCAAAATGTTGTGTGTTTTTTAAGGTCAAGCACTATGTTGCCTTATTTTCAAGATGGGGTATCTTGAACAAAAGGCAAAATATCAAAACCTTTACATTAGCTCTCTCCCCTTCCCGCTTCTTTTGCTTTTCTTTTCCATTTTCCCTTTCGTTAGGCATTTACTAGACTTCATTTCAATGGGTAAAGTTTTCGCGATAAACTCCCAAAGATCGTAAAATTATTTAAAAACAAGTAATTAAGGTCCCTCAGTGCCTGTTTAACTGAAACGCCCTCATTCCGGTTTGGTTCGAAGTTCCCTTCCTAGCTTGATGCCAAATTTGTCTGAACCATTAATGATGCCACATTCAAATGGTATCCGCACAGGCATTTAGGGCGGTTCAGATGCGAACGGGTCAACAAATAGCGGAAAGGTTTCTAAAGTTTAAGACCCAAATCCCAGCACATGTCACTAGCTATTGAACCTGAAATTTGAAACTTTCTGAATATAGCAACTCTGTTAGGCCCACAATTTTCTAAGTGTTCACGGATTAGCTGTCAGAGCGGCCAACTGATCAGTCAACTTTCACGGATCTACATGATAAGAAGAACTTGTCTATTTTTTTCGGCTGCTGCCATTGAACTCAGAGTTCTTACAATTCTTCCTATACACAATTCAAGGACTTTCAAAGGACTTTCAAGGACCTGATTTATTTTTTTTTAACTCACGCTCCAAATAAACTATGAATATTCCGATGATAATGGGCACGGTACTCCTCACCCAGGTGAAGAGTACCGCGGGCACAACGGGACACCCAGGGGTGGAGACTGAGTCTATCATTAAGCCACTAGAAATAATAACATAGCAACCACACGCATCCAAATGTTTTTGTAAACGAAGAATGTCTTTTTCTCTGTTTGCCAAAAAAATACTGGTCCACACGCAGAGTATTCGAATCGTTTTCGCCCGTCCAAACGAAACGCTAAGACGATGGAAAGTAATATATTCTCACCAGGAATACCCACACACACAAAGCCAAATGAATCCAAACTTATAAGATAAGGGAGAATCGGCCCTCGGCAACAACTCCCCGATAACCATGAACCTCGGCACCGAACACTTAATTACCGAGACCTCCACGAAGGGGAACAGGAAAAATGTGGAGTAATACTAGAGATAACAATAGGCCGGAAGAGAATATGGTCCATCGCTGCGGGGAGGAGGGTGAGGGGAGAACTGCTTGCGAGGGTTCCGAGACCTAAACTTTACTGGAACTGGCTGAATTAGCATGCAGACGGCCTTTAGATTGACGGACAAGGTCTGTGCGTATGCCGCGTATTCCCCTGGGTCACGCTGCGAACGCTGAGAAGTGCATTGCTGTTAATTTAGGCTTTTGCGCTTTTTATCCAGTGAGAATAGCTTTCCTCAAAAAGCATGCGTAATTCTAGTAGTCTATGATGCATTACATCATCGTATTCGAAAACTTCCGTTTTCATTCTCCCACACGTAAACGAAAAGCGGGCGTTTTTAAAAATCTCCACTCCGTTATCACCGGACACGTGTGGAAGGTTAGCCTGCGAACAACAGACGCATTTCCGGTCGTCGCAGAGAAGCGACGACCGGAACTGCGTCTGCTGTTCGCAGGCTAGTGGAAGGTGGGCCAAACCGCTGTCAACAACGTAGACGTGTGGACGCGGCCAATGAATGTATGATGTTACCTCTGGAAGAGTTCGGCCACCTGCCATCACAAGAAGTTCAAGAACATTATCTACAGTTCCAGAGTCTGACAGATCTGCTTCAATAACTGGAAAGAGTCTGGTCAAATAAAAACAAAGATTAGAAATTGCAATCACGGTTTACCAAAAATACCTAGTACAGTGCTCCGAGCGTAACTGTTTTCAAAGTCGCCTTTTGGCCTAAAACAATAAAAATGGTCCCCACTCAGTACAAAAAGACACTTGGTGCAAATATAAATTGTGAGATTGGTTGGAATGTTCATAAAGATCGAGACGAAAATTGTCCACTTGACAAAAAAATAGGCCTATTGGTGCCCCCCGGGGGTATTTCTTTTCATGGCCTATACAGGAAGGCTCCCCCCAAAAGGGTAGGGATTTCACTCGCTGAAGTATACGGGTGAAAAATTTGTCATTTCCATGTGTGAAAAAGCCCAAAAGGGCTAACCGATACACTTTATAGCCATGAAAAAGTCAAGAAAATGTTCTGGTTTTGAGATTTATCCATATTTTAAGGACAGCGCATTTTTATCAGTTAAAAGAGATGAAAAGTTCTAAACGAAGTATGTGAAAGGGGTACCATTTGTCAATTAAGAAACGGTATACGAAAGGGGTACCCTTTTCTGTCATAAATGGTATATAAAAGGGTAAGAGGTTGGACGTCAGGGTGGGACCTCCCCTTTCAAATCTTTGCCGAGAACCAAACGGGAATTGGTGCCAATTGTGGGTTATGCTCTTCTTCTAAATTTGACCTACAATAGATACAATGCTGTTTACTTACTTGTGAGTGTCACTACCATAGTATTTACTAAACATTGTTCCCTCTCTTGTGTTCATGTTGTTGATGTTTCCTCTTATTGTGTTAATTTCTCCATTGTGGGCCAGATACCTGTAAAATAACCACCGCATTAAGGAGAATGTAAAATCAAATACACTAGTAATAACCAAAGGTTAACCCTTTAAACCCTCAGATCAAAATTTGAATTCTCATTTGTTGCCCCTATTCATTTCGAACAGAAGTAGTGGGGAGAAGTTGATAAAATATCAAACAAATTCATATTGTGTGATAATGTCCGTAATTCTCATGACCACTCTGTTTTACAAAGAATTGATATTACAAGGAGAAATTTGATGCTGATCACTCTTGGGGCTTAAAGGGTTAAGGAGTGCAGGCGATAATGATAGAAGGTCAAAACACTCTTGCTCCAACAAACACTGTGTTTGATGGGGTCAAACCACCTGTCATCAGAATATAACTAAATAATTATTATAACTATATATACTCAGCTCGTTTCGTTTTTTTGCTATTCTGAGTAGTTTATTGCCTTATCTATTTTAATTTATTCTGTTACTGGTAAACGTTTTTTCAGTTGGAAAATTAAATGGTTGGTTGCTGTTTTTGTTGTTATAATATAAGTAATAGAGGGACCATTAACAGTCTTAAGGGAAGTCCACACAAAGCTGGCTACATACATGTACCCGCCATGCAAGCGTAATAGCGACTTTGAGATTAGGATTGAGGGCTCCTCTTGTCGCCCGCAATATAATAATGATAAGCTTTATTCAAGTGTTGTGTAACTTAAGCATGGTGTTGCCAATTGGGGACACCGTAACATAAATTAAAAAAATAAAATATATATAATTATATACACTTAGATGTCTGTGAATTAAAAAAATAAAAAAATTATTTTCTTTTGTTTTTTTAATTTCTTAATATCTAAAAAAAAATCTGATTAGGATTCTCCAGCACCGTCAGGAGCCGATTACTCCTAGTAATATATTCAGCTCCTGTCACAACGAAATTCCTACACAAAGGTATAGAAGCATCAAAGGTCTCTGGAGCTCACAGGAACCAAATTTTAAATTGATTTATTGACATCCTAACAACTTAATAATACCTGTTTGGATGTGCTCGCTCCCAGCTTGGAAATGTGTTTGTTGAGAACCGACCATGAACCAGAGCAAAATGGGTCCTGTACCAAGGCAAAACATGATCTCAGATAACACAAATAAATTAATTACAATAACTAATTATAAATAAAGAGAGAACCTACAACATACACCAAGCTTTAACTAAATTAATGGTCATCAAATAATTGATATTGTATAATAAAGACTGTCAATCGCCATCATTTGAAAAAAGTTTTGCGGCACACATTATGATAAAGCCAATTGTTGAAACCGATACATTCATGACAATCAGGTGTATTACATGTAAATATCGTGGATTGACTAGTTGAGGAGTAATACATACATTGTTCATAAAATCCAACTAGTGGTCTATTATCAATGCTGCATTCTGATTGGTTGAGCTACTACTAGGCCATATGTTACAGCCCACTAGTAGCGCAAAGCTTCGGTTTTTGGCAGCAAAAAAAGGCTCAAAGTCTAGCTTTAACTAGCTAAAGTTGTTTTGTCTTGATATTTTTGACCAACTAGTTGGATTTTACTAAAACAATTATTCCTCTCGCCCTCATGTCCTCTGAGTCAATAGCCCATTCGGCCTTCAGCCTCGTGGGCTATTGACTCAGAGGCCATTCGGGCTCGAGGAATAAATTATTGTTAATTATATTCCTAGACTTTCACTCAACTAAACAGGGACAGCCATTGGCCGATTCTTGGTCACATGGCCTTGACTACAATCAAATGTATCCTGATAGTGATACATTGAACAATGTAGGCCCCTCGGGTTACATTACAGCATGTGATCAAAGCATGTGGAAAGTGGCGTGACAGAAGGCAGAAACAACACTGCCAGTTTTCTTTTTCGTGAATGAACGCAACAACACAAACATGAAGCGTCAAGCTAAGAAGCAACGATTTTCAAAGTTATCCCAGAAGAGAAACAGCAGCTAGTGGATGAGTAATAATATTAGTGCATTGTACCACTCCTCCTGCATGGACAACATGGGTAATGTTATAGGAGGATGAAGCCAAAACTTGTAAATTTTTAAACCCTACATGTATACACGTTGTTGGAAACAGATGATTGATAGAAAAATGAAGAAGAAAAATTAGCAGTTAGCTAGGCAATTATGCTCGAACCAAGATCTCTGAATTTGGGTATGTTAATTTAATACAAGCATTGATGAACCATTTAAGTCATTGTCTTAAGTCCATGATGACAGCTTTAGTACTTGCCAGTAATCCTCTGACTGCAAATCTGGAAAGAAATCTTGCAGCTGCACTGGCTTCAACATTCCCTAGAATAACAAATAAATTTCCTGAGATTATGTACTCCAAATTTCACAGATTGTCTCAGCGCAGTCAGGTTGTCATTCAATAACAAATTGACCATGTTGCTCCAATTGATACATATATCTACACCGTCTAGAGCACAATTTACTATTTTGTAGCAAATTTTAAATGAAACAAATCCGGTCAAAAGCGTTATTCATCATAGCCTGTACAGATGCAAGGAAAATTAAGTTGGACATATATATATTTGTAAATGAGACCATGCAGTAAACAGATTTCATTGAGTGAGTGAATACTTTCATGATGCTGAAAAGGGGAGTCAAGTTGCGCTAATGCAGTCTCCCATTGGCATTTTTCTCAGTATAATCGAAATAAAATTCATCTTTTAACTTCTGGTATTTATAAAATTTATCTTTCAACTTGCGTATTACATCATCTGAACTAACTGCAGAAAGATTATGAGTGCAAAAGAAAGTGTCAAGATTTTGCCTGTGCAGATATCTTAATTTTCTTTTGTTTCAAAAGAGCAGTCTAATACATTTTCTTTAACAAAAATAGCCTGAAAATAAAAAAAAAAACAAAAACTTACTTACCAACTTACTTAAATGCCTAATGTCATATACTTGTAATGACCCATCAAAAGAAAAAATCAAAGTAATAAAAATAATGAATAAGATTAACAATAAGTATGTGTAATCAAATGGTGACGAGTGAAATTAGGGAATAATTTCACTTGCGTTTTGTCCAAATCCTAATAATTTCCCAAGCCTTTTAGGCAAGTGAAATTATTCCCTAATTTCACGAGTATACCATTTGATTACCTATTAATATCATGGGTGACGAATTATGTTAGCAATCTTGGATTTTTGACATGTTTATCCTGGATCGTATCGATCGAGAACTCCACTCTCTCAAATGTTTAGACCTTAAGTTCAGAATTTTTCAGACTTTTTCAGCAAAATACCTGTTAGAATCCTTCTTGATGTTCTCTTGTGTGTTCAGGTTTTCTAAAGCGTCTTTTTGTGCCCTGACATCTTCATTCACGGCATTTTAAAACTTCGTCGCCATTTTGACACTGAGACGTATGGAAGGGTTGCCATGGCAATTTTGTAATTTGACATGTGAAATTACAAATTAACGCTGAAATTTCGCGCCAAAATTTAGGAGTAATTCGTCACCTATGATATTATCATTATAAACAATAATAATAATTGAAAGTGTTAACACCACAAGTATCGCTGACTTTACCTTGTACACAATTGTATCACATGACAAGCTACAGATATAAAAGCGACGATTCTTTGTTCCAATTATATTTGTTGCCATTTTTCTCAAGAGGTAAACCTGAAAAAAACAACAAACAAACAAACAAACAAAATAAGTAGTTAACAGTAATTATCAATCACTGCTCTGAAACAAGGTAACACTGACCCTCTGAAGTGCACAATGAGACCAATTCTCTGAGGTTTGATGTACAAATTCTTGTAAACCTACCATTCAAAATGTTTTCCTAAACTTGTGATAACATTTCCGACCCAAACATGATGCACACTAAAATCCAACCAAACTACAGTTTATCTAGTTCTACGTTAAATCTCAACTTTCAAGGAGTCAGGATGAACCTTTTGGCTGAGATGAACTTTTGAGGTGTTAAAAATGATCGAGTTAAATTCCAACCTGTTTCTTGAATGTCTCTTGATCAAGTGCACTTGTTACAAAAACCTGCAAGTAATTTATTGAATAAATCATTGCAAAAAGTGCAGTGGAAGACAACAAGATATTTAAAGTGTCCTGATTAATATTAACAAGCAATTCAATATTAAAAAAATATATAATTAATAATAATACTGTTTTTTTTAAACCTATACCAAATAAAAATACTGATCAAAATAATGGTAATAATGAATAATGAACACTTTTATTTGTGTTTTTGAATGTAGAATTGTAAATCTTGCTACATATAGGCAATTTACAAATGTTGCTTGAGATTGGATCATTCAAAAAAAAAAAAAAAAAAGAAAAGACAGAAAAGAAAAGAAATGAAAATTACATTAAGTCTGGGCTTTCCCAATTCCTATTTCTACTATATTTATTATTTTCTTGATCATATAAAGTTGCTGCTTTTCGTCAATGCCAATGCCATTCATCATATCTAAGAACGTGGAGCATTTATTGGAGAAGACGCCAGGGAGCTCATGGAGAGATTTACAAATTTCACTCATCTGTAATTTCTACTCATTTCTTTGATCAAGTTCAGATATTTTTCTTTTTTGCACACTGCATTGTTATTAAGGTTAAACTTGAAACCAACTGTTAATTGTCGAACACATAGGCACTTAGACTGGATTAGGAAAAAAAGATCTGGCTGATAATTCTCACCAGTTATTATTGAGGGATTCAGAAAACCATTAACATCAGCTTAGAGTGAAGGGTGAACATCAATTACAGTGACTTCGCAATGAAGTTAAGGATTGAGTAGTAATAATAATAATAATAATAATAATAATAATAATAATAATAATAATAATAATAATAATAATAATAATGGATTGGCTAGGCCATCTACATCATGCATGCCCATGAGAATGACCAGTTAATTATAAAGTTCTTCTAAACTGGGATTGGGAACACTGGGTTCTAGAAAAATCGATCAGGCAGATGACATCCTACCCTTGTAGAAATTAAGTATACTTTAAGTATACTTCAAGTATACTTTATATGTACTTCTCAGAAAAAAAGTACATTTGAAGTATACCTCGTTTGTACTTCCAGAAAAAAAGTATAAATGAAGTATGTTTCGCAAATGTACTTCATTTATACTTCAAATACTTAAGTATACTTTAAGTATACTTCTTCAAACTTCAGTGCTTGTGAAAAATAGTTTCGCAAAGAAAAATGTACTTTACGTATACTTTGAAACTGATAGACACATTCTGATCTGAGGATCTAAGAAGGTTTGTCCGGATCTTGAAATCACTACAAGACAAAAGTATACTAAAAGTATGCTTTAAGTATAATTTAACTTTAAAATACTATTCAGATCAAATCAGTTTTCTTCTGTTAAGGACACAGTTGAGATCATGCAAAGATTTCTTCAGAGTGGTGAAGTATATAACAGGTTTCTAGATACACAGGGCACACATTAGCTGTTGAGTCGACTTCCTTCGTAGGAAGATCATCCGCCGATCCCTGGGTGAAATGGCAAAGTCAAACAGTTTCATTCTGGTCATTTCTTTAACGTCTTTCGTGGAATTTTTGTAAGGCCCGCGTCGTTTGTCCTCCTTTTTTACGAGGACCTTAAGAAATAGAACGAAAACTCGAAGCAAAACCATCGCTTATCGTCGGACATCTTTACGTTTGAGAAAAGAAATGTATATATGAAGGTGTTGAATTACCGCTGACTTCCAGTACCGTCGGAACATATACGGGATCTTGTGGATTTCCTAATACGGTCATGTATGAATCATTTACAGCATGCCTAACTTCCATATATGGTTTTGGCGGGCGATACAGATTCGAAGGAACGTTCGTTGAGCTTTGCATAGAGTCTTCAAGATATTTATACGCTTGGAATATTGCAGGGCTCGAAATTAACTTTTTTGTTCGGGAGCCAGCTGGCGACTAACGGAAAAATTTTGGTCGCCAGATCGTAAATTTTGGTCGCCAACTTATTTTATATATAACTTACACAAGAACACGATTTTATACGTTACTTTGCATGCAAGAAAAGTCACAACTGAAGAGCGAAAACAATTAGAAACAACACGAGTAACACTTAGTTATAAAGCTACCGTTGTTCTCAGGTGATATGTCTCTGGTCCGAAGGTGATGGTTGTCTCCATAGTCATTTTAAATGAAGCCCAAGCATAAAACGCGTTTAAGTCCGTGGTTTTCATTCTGAGACAAACACGGGTCCTTGTGTATTTGCCCTTTGCTACTTCTACGAAATGCCGTTCTTTATTTTCGACTTGCTTTCCTCAACGCCTTCGCTGCCGACAAACAACGCCATGCTTGGCCCAGGCCTCACGCAACCACATTGCTCGTACCAGTCTCCGACCGGGAGGAAACAAAAATGGGCTTAGTGCAGTTTTTGGGTCTTCGTTTCCTTTTAGACAGAACGTTTTAGGAAAATAAAACCTAAAATGTTGCGGGAGTTACGGAGACACCGTATCTGCCACCATTTTTGTTGTTGAAGTGCGCCTGCGATCCCAGTTTCGGAAGAAGCCGCTGAAACAATATGGCGCGCCCTGAACGCAGTATCGACGTGTCGATTATCTTGTAATATTCAGACATTATTTTACTGGGGACGGAAAGGTGAGTTGTATACTAGCTACCATATCCGATTGATTTCCAAATATAAAGATTTAAAAACAAAAGTTGTGTCGTGGTTTTCTTTAGTCATCGGACAAAACGCGAGTCGCCAGCTGGCGACCAGTTCTGAAAATTTAGTCGCCAGTGCTCAATTTTTGGTCGCATTGGCGACCAGTGAGTCGCAATTTCGAGCCCTGTATTGCCTTTAATTTATCTTCACAATTCGAGCACAATATGAGTGGAACTTGAAAAGAAAACAAAAGAAGTACACCATGACTGAATTTTGACGATACAAGTAAGTTTTGGGGTGAAAAATGTATCGGTTCCAGACGTTTCAATATATATCGATTCTTCTTTGCAAATGACACACGAGTTAAGCCGTAAGGTTTACAAACTAAAAGCTTGTTTACTTCGCCTAAAGTGCAGTGTAAATTCAAAATATAAAACCCAAGTCTTGTTTTCGTTAGAATCGCATTTCATTCCAGTTTTTGTACGTAATAGGTAGACATATTTCTTTAATAAGGTAATGGCACAATTTCCTTTGTAGCCAAAGAGTACAGATCTAATCATTCTTGTCTATTAAACATTTACTAAAATTAAGAAGAATATTGTGTGATGGTTCTAAGCAATAATTATAAAGTACAAGTGAGTTAAAGCAAGTTCAGAAAGAAACCTGTTAATATACATGCACCTTCCTTGAAATGATCTCATTGTCAATGAAAATTTTACAAAAATCAAGAAGAATAATATATTATGGTAATCAAATGCAGTGAGTTCCTTTGATAGGAATAGAAAATGTATATTTTTATGTTGTGGAAACCTATTCCAACAAGATTTGCTACATGTTTTTTTATGTTTTCTTAGTACATTTGTATTGCTTTTTTTGTTATATCAATAAATGATTTTATAATATAATTGATCCAAGTCTGACGTGTCTCAGTGATTGATAACATATTGCATTGAGTATACTTTAAGTATATTTTAAGTATACTTGAAGTATACTTCCCATTAAGTATACTTCAAGTATACTTTCATTTAAGTATACTTTAAGTATACTTTTTAGGTGTCGAAAAGTTGTGTACTTAAAGTATACTTCTGGTAAGTATACTTAAAGTATACTTTAAGTACAAATGAAGTATACTTTTTAAAGTGGTTATCACCTATATAAAGTATACTTTAAATGTACTGAATTTCTACAAGGGTAACCTCCTACAATCAGCAGTAAAATTGTTGCGACAATGTCACCAAATGGGTTACTTTGGAGAACAGAACAGTCTACACCCCTCCTCCCTCCCTTCAAAGTTGAGGTGTTTGCCGTTTCCCACATGTAGCTCAAACATTGAATGGTGGGGTGGGGGAGGGAAATTACATTTTTCTCCTTTGAAATCAGCAAAATTTTCAAAAAGGCCTTTTAGTAGGGCAGACTGTTTTAACCCTGGGGTCTTAACTAATTTGTGGGTGATTGATTCTGGCAAAGCATGGGGCCTGGAACACAATTATCTCGACGTACTGCTGTACAGCAACAATGTATGGCAATTATCCCAGTAGGATATGGCAAAAGAGATTTAATATTGCAAGCTGAATATTTAAGTATTAATCAAAAAAGGTTTAATTTAACTTTAAGTTCCATCCCATGTATTTGAATTTCTGTTGTTGTTCAAAGGTTTATTTCTTCTGAAGATGTATGTTGGAACATACGAAATGTCAAATTAAATCTTTTTCCTTCCCAGAAATGCATAATTTATTATATTTCCTTATGTTTATTACCACATGTTTGCTTTTTTTGCCATTACAGACCCACACATTTGCATATCCTCCACCACCCCTGTTCTCCCCCAACACAACCGCACAGACAGACATCATTTTAGGCATTTCTGGTCTTGTGGCTGTATCACCTGCAAAGGTTTAGAGGGGCTCTGCTATGATGTAGCAGGGTAGGTGATCGTGAGTAGGTGAATATGTTACATAAATGTACGGGCCCCATATACTAAAACTGAGCAATTGAGTGTATTATACAGCAATAATAACATCATGATAAATACCTGTCTTATCAGAGGTTGACTGTCTGCTGCAGTTTTTCCTATCATGCTGTTATCATATGGTACATCACGCCAACCTACAACCTTAGAAAATTATCAAAATAATGTGTTACACTGTTTGTCATGCATCTGCCACTTGACTGTTCGAAATATTCCAATTCTTGAAGCACCTCAATATTTACTTATTTATGGTTTATAATGAACTATACACTGTAGCATTTTAACTGAAATTTAAACTAAAAAAGGGAGAAAAACTAACCTTGATATTGCATTCTTGTGCAAGCTTTGAAAACATGTCTTCACACACTTTGGCCTAAAAAAAGGAGAACAGTTTACAGAAAATGGAACAAGGTGGGGCATCCCCCCAAAACACCATAATGATCAATTCAATATTGGTGCACTAGCTGTTTCTGTGAGTATAACAACAAAACCTGCATCGTAGACTGGATCACAGCATGCAACTTCTATATCTAACTAATACACTGGCAATCATGCCGAATTTAATAGTGGGTAAATTATTTTGATCCAGTCTGTTCTAGGTCTTGTTAAGGGCGACATGAATAAGTGTTGTTGTCAGCATGAATCTCTTAACACATTAAATAACTTTTCTACAATATCACAGCAGCATAACCATAAAACACAGTTTTCCGCTTGCTTCAGTGGCCAGTTTTTCCAGACCAGTGTTATCACCAGGATTTGAGTTTGCCCCGTGCACCCCCTACCCCACCCCTGCTGAAAAATATTAGGACCTGGATGAACTCAAGGGAGATAGGGGGCAGTTGTGTGTTACAAGTAGTTGAAAGTGAGTTAGTCAAGAACCATCGCCCATGGCATATACACATATTTTAGTTGTGGTCCATGAGTTTAGAACAAACAAAAGAGTCTAACTTGCAGTATTGTGGTATATGGCATTTTTATTTATATTTATGAAACAAACTCATGTAGAATGTCAGGCCTGCAGTAGTTAGAATTCATGCATTCATGCATGACCCTATATGAAATTTGATATGCCTAGTGGCTATTAACATTGATCTACATGAGCTGATTAATGTTTGCAGCATACAATCTGTGTGACCTACTGACCTACTGACCACAAAGGTCTTTAGAACAAAAAATGCACAATATATTTTACTGCTGTGAAGTGGTTCAATCTTACCTTTGATTAAAAACTTCCTTTCTTTTGTTTTTGGATATGATAATGATAATAATAATTTTCAAACATAGGAAAAAATAATTAACATTTCTCACCAAGGATAAAATTGACCCACAACATAATGTTTTCTGTCATTTGAACATTTATGGCAAAATGCTGAAGTACTATTCTCTTGTTTATTGAGGCCCTGCCAGGGTAAATTCTGACAAGTGACATAGCCCAAATTGCGGCCAAATTGCGACAGTGACAGCAAAGCTGACAATAAGCGACAAGCATTTATAATCACTGACACCAGACGTTTTAAAATTCAGATGGGCGACATGGGACCTCCCCCCCACCTCCTGGCAGGGCCTCTTTATAACAAAACTGTTCAAAAACTGGAGGATTCTTATTTTCAATTTGCAGGTGGGCAGCTGTAAGTATGAAAGGACACCTGTAACTTGATCCCAAATAACCCCCATCAAAACCCACACCTACACTGGCCTGCAAATCATAACCACGCTATTACGCCACTTCACATTAGCGAACTTCTTATTGCCATTTGATAATTTTTGCAGGAATCCCACAAGGTCACAGCCTGCTGGTTACAAAAACTGACCAACAGGCACTTGATTGATTTGCAGCACATGTTGTTTCCCCTTAAAGTACTCTCTACCAATATAAAATGTTTCAATTCAAACTCAATAAGCATACATCCAAAACACCACCTTTGATTCCATAAAATAAATTATCACCTTGTTTAGATCTGTATCAATGAAAAAAATCCCTGTAGCATAATCACCAAGAGATGGCAACTTGAAACCAAGTTTTTTCTCTCTGAAGAAAAAATAAATAAATGTAATGCTAAGAAACATGTGTATGACAAAGATCACCACTCAATAAATAAATAAATAACAACAATTTAGTGGTTAACCTTATCTACCAATTCTGGATCAAACTGGAAAGTGGAAATGTTGGTTATCAAATAAGAAATCCGCCTGCAAGCAAGGTATTAAGGAACCAACAATAACAGGTTTAAAGTAATGTTTTTCTACTTCTTCCTCACAGACATAGCAAAAATGATTTAGTAGAGAAGTTGCCATTGTCACTATATCTATATGCAAATTTGTGCTCCCCACCAAACAAATGACTATAAAATTTCTCAAGTTTTGTGGACCTGTTTCTTGGCTACTTCAGACAAATAACTTTAGAATAAGCAAGTTTACTATTGCTCTTTCCAGCGGAGTGGATGGATTTTCCATAACTTCAGTCCATGACAAAAAAAGAAGAAAAAAAAAACCAAGGAAAGGTCTATTGCAAGGCCATCAAAATGCCAAACTTTACAAGCATAACCCAAGCTTGATGCTGATTGTGAGCTATAATGTGACTTACTTCTTTAGCATTTATTACTGCAGCTCATGCGAAGTTTGACATTTGACCCAGAGCTGCGTGCCTTTAAAACAATTACTAGCGTGAATATCTTTAAACAGTGTCTTAGAAAGCACAATGTGCTCCAAATTGCAAATGTAGACTTCTTACTGAATGACTCGCTGGTAAAAAGCATGAGGAATTCCAGTCATAACCCCAGCTCCATCACCACAGTTCTCTTCAAATCCACAGGCACCCCTGTGCTTCATCCTTTCCAACACTGTAAGTGCCTCTGACAATACCTTGAAAAAAAAAAAAAGAAACACAACAAGACCAGTGGGCTACAAAAACTTTACATTGGACTTGAACTCAAATAATTAATAATTACGTATTCAGCTCTGTCAATGAATAATGTTTTTTTTTCTGTGATAAAACATCCACCCAACTCAATAATGGACACTTAACACTGAAACAAGAAGTTTAATTAACTACTCATCCCGAGCACTTCCTCCGAAAACCAGAAGTTAAGGCAGAAGTTGAACTGAAAATTAAATTTGAAATTAAAAAACTGACCAATAAAAGTATATATTTTCTCTTGAGTCAAGTGAAAATCTCAAGGACTTATCGAATAATGTTTGAATGCTCTAACGAAGGTGGGCTAATTTGGTAGTCTTCTCCTGAGAAATGCTACAGTACGCAGCTGGGGATATTTCAGATTCAGATTCAGATTTCAGAATATTTATATTTTTTGCACTTTTACTGTGAAACTAACAAACCCGTGAACACCAGAAATATTTATGGAATGTTATTGTGTTGTGAGAGATAAGCCAATAAGGTGCGAGATAACTATAAACTGGTAATTAGTTTATGATTTTGAGGTTTACTTGCATATCCTTCACTTTATTGTGATTGGCCAGTACACAATCAACATTCCTGAAATTTTTCAGGTGTTCCTGGTTTTCTGAGTTTGACAGTAACAGATTTTACTATAAACATAAAATATATATCACTTAGAACGGGAAAAAGAGCAAATTATATGAACAGTGAAAGGAAAAATGTGCGCGGTGAGAATGTAGCTTGCAGTAGGCTATGGAGTTTGTCACTTTTTCACTGTCCCATAAGTGGAAAAGAAATTTACATAAAATTAAAACAAACAAGAAAAATAGTGTAAAAAATCATTTTACTAAATTTATATTATTAAAAAAGAAAGTGGTAGATATAAATAACAATAATTATTTATAATGGGGATTGGTGAACATCATAAGGAAAAATCAATATTTCTTCTTCAAAATAAATTTATTTTTAATGAACATTTTGGCATTTTGCACATCATATTTAACACCAAAAAGCAGGTACATGCATATGCATTGAGTTTATGCAGCTTAGTGTCATGTTGTTGAAGCCACATCTTTATGAAAACAAGACTACTTGCGTAACTCCCGCGCCCATATTCTTGGACTTCCACCTTCCAATCTCACCAGTAAGAACTATTTCTTTCCAATGAGCCAGTTCTGGCAAATGGAAAAATCCCTTTAGTCCATCCAATTTCAAAATTTAGTTCTTCATTTTTTTTCATTTCACTTCGGGGCGTGACATAACATCGGTACAGAATTTATTTATCAAATGCAAAGAATCGAATTAATGTTTTGTAGAAGCTTAAGTTTTGTTTGTCTCTTCAATTTTTGCACCTTCTCTAGAGCAATATTTTTCCAATAAATATGATATTGTGTAAAAAAGATAAAGTGCGAAAATATATAACTTTATTTTTCTCAAGCATTGAAAAGAACGTTTGTTTAAAGCAGCAGCCAAAGGCTGTTCAGCTGAAATTTATTTTACATTTCAGAACAAATTCCAGTCAGCACAAGAATATTTCTGGGCAGATGATACCTTCGATAAAAATATAGACACAACAACTGACAAAGGCGTGGTTATACTTTTTTCCGCCAAAGAGTATTTTCAAGATTACATAAACATCTGCAAGAGTAAAGCCAATGGATGTATACAGTAGTGCAGAAATATAAAAGTTTAATGTACCAAAACAAAAACATCACTTCAACTTTTACCAAGAGCAAGGCCATAAAACAATATAAACATAAATAAATAAAATACCACCCCCAATTGTTAGAATGCAAAATAACAAAAAAAAACTATTTTAATAAACTGGACAGTGAAATAAAACATATAGGAGGTAAGAAAGAAGCACTGTCTGGTTGTTTCTTAAGTTTAATATAATTAATTTCGTTATAACAACAAGGTCGTGTGATGGGAATTAACAGCTGGTGTCACACAACGCTGTTAAGTGCTAAGTACCGGAAATTGAATTAACTCCAAAAATGCAGAGTAGATAATTTTGTTGGGCACACATACACACTGTATATATTTCATATATGAGAAAAATTCATGGTTAGTTATGAGAGATTAAACAAAATCTTATTCTCCTGTGATGGGATTACAATTTCGTGACCAGTAGGGGTTCCACGAAGCAACACAATTTTAACAACGACCAACTTTAAAAACAACTTGTAAACTCAGTAATATTTAATGATGGGAACGAAAAAGATTCGCTGCATAAAAGAACGATAGCAACAAATTCACACCAATATAAGTAAGCTTGCGCATCGATATTTAAAAAACTGGAAAGTTAACCGAACTCAGAATAAAATGAATTTGAGCCTGCCTAACTAAAGTTTTACACTTTGAGCGCGAAAACTTTCAGTGACTCCAGTACCGATCAAAGCACGTCTGTGCAAAAAAACAATTTGCTCAAAAAACTACACTAGATCGTAATGACAATTTATTGCTACGGTTTGGACTTCTGTTCACAGGTATGTCAATCGTACCACGTGGAGAATCGTAAATGCATATATTATGTACAAAAACGTACAGAGATTTTGTATGAATGGCGGTCTATGTGTGTTAACTTACGATTGTTTTTACTCTTCACGTTTGGGATTCCAGCAACTATTATTGGTAACCAGTTAAGGAATAAGATTAATTAACGAAGTGTTCATTAAAAGAAAATACCTGGTGGCTTTTTTCCCCATTGATTTTCGCCACAAACCCTACTCCGCAAGCTTCCCTTTCGAACTCCGGCGAGTAAAGGCCTTGTTTTGCCGGATAGCCATACTTTGAACGTACCATTTCACTTTTAAAGGCGTCAGGTTGGCGATATTAGCTCAGGCTTTCGACGGTTTTATTAAAAAGTTCAAGTAAGAATTACTACGTGAGAGTTTAGATGTTGACTGAGGGCTGAGCGAAGCGAGCGCGTGCTAGCATGTTATTTTCCTCCCGATTGGACTTTGGCGCCATCACACGTGATGAAATACACCTTTTGTGTTTGTTGATTAAGGATAAGCCAATGAAATTAGCTCCCGGTTACTGCTTCACGTGGGCCAGTAAATAATGAAACACCTTTTTATAAATGCAACCCTGCCTCTTCCCTGCCTCAGCCATAGAGAAAGTATTTTATTTTACTGTTTTTCAGATCGGAATTCTTCTGCAAAGGTAAAGGTCAAGATAAAGGATTCGACAAACTCATGAAGTAGCTAGTGGAAGAAAACGCAATTTGCTAGTTGCAGAGTTTTTTTTAGCTGTAACAAGCCATGAATAAAAGAAGCTGAGTTTTGACGTGATACACTTGAGTCTTCATTACCGATTCTCAAAGACGTCAAAATTATATAATTGGAATTGACGAATAATTGCCCTAATCACGGGGTTATGGGGCGTTCATAATTCCATTAGTCCTGCTCGAAACTTTTTCTTATTTCAAGTATTAATAGTCCAATAAAAAAAAAAAAATTACAAATCATTCGTATTCTATTTTTTCAAAAAATTAACTTTTATATTAGTTCCAGAAAAAAATTCCAAAGACAAAAATATTCTAAAACTTCTGATGGTATCAGTCTCTCAGCGTGTAATTTGAATCCTAGCTCCCGTTAAAAACCCTTTCAAATAATGTTGCAAAATGCGTACATGTTAAAATAGTACACACACTCAGTGAAAAACCCGCAACAGTGCCGGCCTTTGCACCCTGAAATCCCCTGGTGGTGGGGGTACTTCCTTGTAAGAGGCTAATGGGGATGGGGATGTGCCGCTGGATGGGGTCGCATTTTCACGACTGGATTGACTATGATAGGGTCGCATTTTTAATAGACTTACTTGAATGAGGTCGTACATTTTCGGATTTTTGGGAGTAAGACAGTTCTTCGTACTTACGGTTAGCAAACCAGAATGTTTGTACTGTAGGTGAAAAGTAAGTGTTCTCCATTCAATCTAAAAAATGGGACAATTCATAAAAAAATAGAAAGTAACAAAGTTGGGATCGCGAAAATTACACTTGCTCAAAAGTGACTAAGGACAGGTCTATAATCAGTTTTCACCGTAATGCAATGGGCTCCCGCCTGGGAAAAATTTGCGATGTGCCATCATTTCTTTTTTATTATTATTATTTCCTTTTCACCCTTTTATTGCGTTCAGCTTGTGCCCCCCTCCCTACCACCACCACCACCACCACCACAGTTCTATCGTTTCCAGAACCGACACATCCACGTTTAATTTCCCTTCACTAGAAGATTGAACCATATTTAAGTCCTTCACAGCATGGTTTTAGAAGGTATAGTCATTAGATCCTGTGTTACTCAGCTACTCTACTATATATATGTACAATTTGGCAACATCGTTAGATGCTGGAGAACCAGTTGATAACTTCTACCTTCATATGGAAAAGGCGAGTACCACATGAAAAGCTTCTATACAAACTGAGTATTTAGGTATTTGTAACCCTTTGCTGCACTGGATAAATAGTGGATAGGTGATTACCTCAAAGACAGACGACACAGAGTATCTATCTCCTCAGATTGGAAATACCTATCTCCCGGCGTCCCACAAGGCTCAATAATTGGTCTTATTCCGCCCAGTTCTTATCTACATTAATGACATTGGTTCAAAGCTATCTCTATCTCCTAAAACTTTATTACCACTTTATGTCGATGACACAAAATGCAGCAGAGTTATACGAGGTCAATTAGACCGAGACATACTACATAGAACTATCCACCTTACATCAATGGAGTGAGACCTGGGTAAGAAGTTAAACATGTAGACATCTCTGTGTCACGTACAAAAGAAACAGATTGGAAACCTCATTACAGCCATAGAACCCGGCGTCCCACTGTCAACAGAACAAAAAGACTTAGGAGCTAGTGTTAATAAGTCACAATCTGTCCTGGCGGCGTTTATTTTGATAATTATTTATCTTCAGATTCTACAAAATCAATGATACAACAACATAAAATCTCATATCGAGAGATTGTAGCCTGTATGTCTGTAGTACAGACCCTGAAGATCTTCAAGGGAATAGCTGTCATTTGGATATGTATAAAAAAGTATATTTTGTAAAAAAGAAGCTAGGCTTTTGTACATTATTCTTTTGTTTCCTCTTTAGAGCATGCTCCGTCTACCCCAAAAAGTTCATTAAAATACCAGATAATACCATCATGCAGCGGCTTTTTGCCTTTTAATTTTCATTTTCTTTTAAAAAATAATAATAATTTCCGAGAAAATTATAAGTAAAATACGTAATGCTTTTATTACACAAAAGCCTCAAAAAGACCTGACTTCAGGTAAGAGCTTTCTTGGCATTTTTGTGTTTCGGGGATTTGTCGAGTGCATTTTCAGGATTTTGTTGGAAATTTTCAATACATTTTTATTACTTTCTAGAGTTTTAAGACCAATATTCTAGTTTTTATTACCGGTCATGTTGTAAATCACTTCCAATTGTATTCATAGTTCGTTGTTATTTTAAATCGCACTAGATAATACGCACCTGATTTTGTGCGCTTTGTAAGTAATAAATTCTTATAATTTTTTGAAAAAAAATAATTTTCTTCCTACTGACAACACTGAAAGTCACATTTTGTCGCTTTCTTAGTCTTTTGTTTTTACAGCTGTTCCGTTTGTCGCGAAGTTGTCGCCTTCCGAAACTATCGCGAAATAGAAAGCCATGTTGACTCCGCCCGTCCAAAAACACTGTGGCTCTCGTGCCACACTTATCCGGATAGTTTTGAAAACGGAGATAACAACACATCACCTTTATTCAATATCTCCTAGATAGAAGAAAATAAATAATAAATTATAGAAATAATAATACTAAAAGGAAATTAAAAGAAATAGAAAATACAAAAAGACAAAAAATAAGAGGAAATACAGAACTATAAGAAAAAAGAATTCAAACGAAATTTGTCGCACTTTGAATTTGAACTCCCTAAGGGATGTCACAACCCAAGAGCCAAAATAGCTCTTGCGCAACCTCATTCCCAGGATCCTCTCTCCGCAGGGAAGGGTAGGAGAGGACCGTGGGAACAAGGCTGGGGATGTCGTAGACCTCTGGGCCCAGTTGTTCGAAGGCCGATTAGCGCTTAACCCAGCGTTAAATTTAACCCTGGTTTCTTTTTCGTTTGTTCAAAAGCATTTTCCGGATAATTTTCTCTATTAAATTTAGAGCTTCCAATCATCAACTTGTAGACAAAAAGAATTAAAACTGAAAAGCTTTTTAAGCTTTCAAATCTGAATTCAAATTTTGCACCAACCCTGGGTTATCTTAACCCAGCTTAGAACAACTCAGCCCAAGTCCTCAGAGAGTCGATTCTACATTGCAGTAGATGAGTACCTAAATGAACGTAAACCATGAGTTGTTGTCTTAACGCAGGGAACAGTGTAGCCTGCGAGCAAGCTTTCCTTTTGGGCGAGCGAAGTGGGTCTCGCGAGAACGCGCGAGCTAGCGATCCCTCGCTCGCGCGTTCTCGTGAGGCAGGCGTTCTTGCTCGCAGGCTAGGAACAGTGATAAAGGATTAAATTAACTGCAAAAACCGTGGACGAAGATCCTGCTAGTTGTAAGCGTTGGATCTCTATATTAGAAAAGAGATCTAATCAGGCAAAATATAAAGAACCAAGAACGAGAAGTCCAAAGACTACTGCAAAGCTGATTTAAAACAACGTGTATTGTTTTTTACAACAATATTTCGGCTGGCCATACCAGCCTTCTTCAGGTTAACAGATGTTACTGAACTTATGTTTCTGAACTTAGGAACAGTGAGTTTGTTTGTTCCCCGCAGATCGTCTGTCATAGGTCTTGCTTGATACAATCCACCTAGATATCTTGGCATCTTTTTCTCCCTAAAAAAAAAAAACGAAACAAAACAAAACAAAAAAACGCGTCCGCTCGTAGCCGTTTTTGACCTTAATAGCTTTGAATCGCTTTCCAGATGAAAACGCTGAAACGATAAAAATACGGTATCATACCTTAAAACCCTCCGTTTTCGTCCGCCCACAGGTGAACGAGGAGCCGGACAATCTCCACTCTGGGCACCGTTTCTAAAACACCTACGTTTCTGGTGATCTAAAACATCCTCTACGTCTGGACAGTAGGCTAAGCTGGAGCCGAAAATTCTACGTTTTCAAAAGTATCCGGGTACTTGTGGACGGGGTCTGAACAGTCAGTCATATTCCTAGTCACGAGGGCAATCAAATCGCGCGCAAAAATTACAAACTACTGACCTCCCTTATACATAAGCGAAACCTTTCCATTTACATAAGCGAAACCTTTCCATTAGCTACTGTTAGTATAAGTCCCTCTACCGATGCTGCATCCGGCATGAACTTCGAGGAGTACTGCAACAGGGTTGTTCAAACGTTGGATAGCACTATCCACCAGACAAATCACTATCCAGCGGATAAGTATTTGGAAAACCAATTGCACTATCCACTGGATAGAGATTTATCCACTGGATAGCCTTATCCATCTTTTGAACAACTAGGGCCAGGACCATAAACGACCTGATCTCACTGACGTCCTGACAAGCTCTTGTGTCTTGGATATCTGCAATCTTTCCCTCTCTTGGGTTAATACCATCACTAGTCAATTCATGCCCGAAAAAAGTGAGCTTGGATAAGCGAAACTTGAACTAGTCACAGTTAAGCGTCGATCCGCTGTGAGCCTGATAAACCTTCTTATCGTGCCCTTCGACGCATCAAATCATTAGCCATATTCGCCACGCCCGCCACACCCTTAAGCACATCCCTAAGAAGAAAGTGGTGAAATCCAACTTTAAATAAACCTTGCTAAACCGTGCTTCTATTTTAAATAGTGCAAAAGT